CAACGCAATCCAGTTTACACCAATAGGTACTGACAAAAGGAAAGAGGTAGAAAAAATCATCTTGTACATCCATTTCAGTTGGGCTTGTATTTGGACCGCGTTAAGCAGAAAGAAACGAAGCCACATTAGCTATTGCAACATTTAGTTGGGCAATGTAAAATTTTACATGAAAACTTTTGTGCGGATTTTTGCGCAAATTTCAGTGAATATTTCGCACAGGACGAGGCAAATTCCATACTATTTCCGAAGAACCCGCACACACGCACTCTCGTAAAAAATTACATTGCCCGGTTAAATTTGGCACTAACTGATATGTGACTTGGTTACTCTCTGCTAAACGCTGTCCATTTAAAAAAAAATTGAATCGCTCTCTAACACCTATTGGAGATTACATTACTGAACAACTTACTAAACTAAACAGTGAATTTCCATTTATAATCAATGTCCATCATGATCTAGGTGTTTTTAACCTATCGGATATTGTATTCTTTTCTAAAAAAATTGAGTGGACTAATAGAAAAGAATTTAAGCATTCTGATATATGTTTGCAACCAAAATTCTACGCTGAGCATGAATTTTGCAATGAGAATTACTGAAATCAACTCTTACCTATGATATCAAAGTTTTTAGCCTACACTGGTCGAAGGAAATTTGAATTCCCTGCTCACGAAAAAACAATGGTCTTTTTGAATCAAATATCGCACTACACAAATTTTGGCAGGCAGCTTAATGGATCAATGTTCTTTCCCCGCTTTGTGTTGTTCAAAGTTTTAACAGCGTAAGAACCAAGGCGAAGCACCGATGAAATTGAGGTTGCCATTTTTTTTTCACACTCCAGAGACCCTTACGACAACGTTAAGTAGTAAGCGATTTGCTTCAAGTAGACATTTGTTTTTTCATGAGCAGGAGGTTTTAATTTACACATCGATAAACATTGAATACGACAGATCGCTGGGGAGAATTTCATGAGCTGCCCTCCGCACGACCCGCCTTTCATTATTACATTTCATCCAGCTGAGAGTTCACTGATTACTTCACACGACCAGTGTGTAATTTTAAAAGTGAAAATATTAAACAAATTTAAAAGAAAAAAAACAAATTACACAGTGCACGAGTTTCTCCACCAGGAAGCTCTCCCCGCAAGAAATCGGTCAGCACCCGCGCCCGCCAGCTGGAAGAGCCGCGGTGGCGTGCTGCCAGCGCGAAACGCGCACTGACGCCTACAAACCTAAGGGGATACTTCAAGCATTGCGCAATGCGTGAAGTATCCCCTTAGGTTTGTAGGCGTCAGTGCGCGTTTGGAGCTGGCAGCACGTCGCGCCGCAGCGTGTTATAAACTTGCAAACAATTTATAGGTCAGGATGGTAAAATTTAGGCAATTTTACATCAAATTCGAAATTAGCGACTCCAAAAACATCTGTTATGAAACAATCGTGATCTTTCAGTCATCATCCGATTTATTTCTTCCTATTCTTGAGTTTTGGACTATTGTGCGCGGCGGCGGCCCTGTTCTCAACCGCATTGAATACTTCGGGGAGGAGTTAGTTGCTGCAATTTTCATTGCGCGAATCGAAATCCACCCTATTCCTTGTGACATTCTTGTTATAAAACGTAAGCACATCAGAATGCTTTAATTCGTAGTACCGTACTCGCGACCATGCTTTCATATACGGTACTCTTTCTCAACAAATAGGGAGGGAATTAAAAATGGGTAAACAAGACTAAAATATTGAAGACCACTCAAAGGCAGGACGTTTCGAGCTACTACACTGAAAAAAATGGTTAAGTAGTGAGAGTCCATACTGCTTGGAAAATTTACGGTATGAACTGCTCGGTCATACGGTTTGGCTTTCACGACTAGAGCAGAGATGTGCTGTTAACATGTCGTGTATGGAAAAGCATGTGTATGAACTTACCGTTTAGGTATACAATATAGACGTTGGGTCCATACGGAATGGACTCGGAGCACCTACTCTGCGTATGTAATATTTGTTTATACTAAGATGAACTCTACCTCTATTCATAAGTCGGCATCAAATTGTTCACAGTCTGTATGTGACCTCGACCCATGATTTATGAAGCGTGAGTCCGTGAGTGCATACATTTTTTTCAGTGTACCAGCTAATTATTAGCTGCAAAAAATACGAAAAAAGAAAGGAAAAATAAAAAAAAAATAGAGTGGCGACCTGACCCCAGCCGATATCACGTAACCACGCACAAATTCCTCAACTTGAGCACTATTTTCTAAAAATTGAAAGAAAAAATTTACTTCCATGATATCCTACGACTTACATTTGTAAGTTGTAGGAGCTATATGTGGTTATTCCCAGCATTTTTAAGTAAAAATTTTCTTATCTTCGATTTTATATTCAACTAGGGGGCTACGCCTCCTGGCCGCTACGCGGCCCAACCCCCTGAAGGCGCCCCGCGCCATCAATGGGCCGCTTCGCGGCCCTATTTTTACCCTCCTATCAGCGTTAGTTTTATTTTTCCCCTAAAAAATTACGACATGAGGTATATTTTACTTTTTAGAATGAAATGATTTTTCTTTTTGATAAATAAAGAAGAAAAAAATGAGAAGGCAGAAGGATGCGATTCTCAATGATTTCTTAATGCTCCATTGCAGTAAAACAGCGAATTGGGACGGACAGGTTTATTCCAAACGATACCCAAGCGGGAATTGAATTCCCATCCCGTCACCATCAGGTTCAACTGACGTCTTAGACAACTCGGCCACTGTCTGATGTATGGAACAATCAGTGAATCTAGTGTACATAAGTACAGAGCTGATGCGCAGGCTACACATCCACTGCGCAACCTCCTCGACCACTGCGCATTCTCCCGCGCATAGCGGTGGCAGTCCCGGAGCATCCTGTAAATTCACTCACTTTTATAACGTGATTTTAAAAAAAACCTGGGTCCTATTTCCAAAATCTGATTAGAGCGGGCTTATCTAGGGCCTATCACCTGCCGATTTACGCAAAAATCATGGAAATCGCTCAAACGAACTATGACAAAAAGTATTTTACATTGTTTAAATGGGAGAATTCGCAACTTTACCNGGGGGGGGGGGGGGGGGGGTCCGAGGGGCATCCCCCGAGAAATTTTAGAAATTATGCGACTATTCGGACGCATTTTGAAGCTTCCATAAAGAATTTTTCCATCAATTTCTGCGGAATAATTATGTTTTTTTTTCAACATTCAGCACAAAATACTTGCATTCAAAACATCTGGAAAATTTTTATTTTTTTTTTGAGGGTGGGGGGGGGGGGNGGGGCCATATGATATTTTTTTCAGTTCTAAGAGGGCCAGGCCCCCCCTGAACTCTCCCTTCGTTTGTCTATGGCAATGGAGTTGAGCAATGAGCCATTGAAGTCGAGGATGCCCAGACTGGAGACCCTTAGCATCTGACGATGGAAGAAAATGAAACGCAGTTACTAAAAATATCCCTCTGTACTGAAAATCTTGAAAATAGATAGAAATTTTCCAAGAAGTATGCTTCTTTGAAAATGTAAGAAGAATTCTACAGTGCCCCAGCATGTTTCTGAAAATCTATTCACCTTTTGCGAAATTCTTAGGGTAAATTTTTCACTTTTTCTTACGAAACAAGGGTTGCATGTGAATTCTTAGTGGTTTTTCACGGGTACCTAACACGGGCCCCCTTCGGGGCCCGGGCCCCATACCAGGGACCCGGTACCCCCCCCCTTGTGGCGGGCCTGCCTTCATGCACGCTGGGCTTGTCGATTTCCTCTGAAATGTTTGCAGTGGTGATGCATAGCTGAAGTGCGCTTCAGCTAGAATTGTATTTACAAATGGGTGGTTTTTCTACGAGGATTAAAAATAAACGAGTGGTACGGAATATAACAAAAGAATATAAACTATGCAAAACAATAATCCGGGTATCGGAACCAAGCTGTTTTGAAAACGCCTTCATATGCGGCGTGATACCTCACGCATTCTGGAGAGTTCAAATAGTTGTAACATTGCGGCGTATGAATGTGACGGAAGACTTAAATGGAAATAGCCTTCATGCATGCTCGCCACATCCCATCTCGGGCCCTGGTACCAGTTTTAAGGTCCGTTCAACCCTAAGTAGCAAAGAAAATTGGTTTTGAAAATGCCAAAAAAGGGATCTGTTTGCGACAGTATTTTTGGCAGGTACTGATGACATAATCAGGCAAAGGAGACAGTGTCAGATGAAGTCATCTATCAGTGACGTCAGCGGTGACGACCGAGCCCGACGACGACGACGACATCGTCATGGGGGCGCTTTAACTCATGAGCCCTGTCCACAAGGCTCTTGTCACATGCCCACGGCTCACGAGTTAGCGCTCAGTTCCTTTTGATTTAATGTCCAATCCCGCTTTTCCATTTTCTCCGAAGAAACTATATCCACTTTTACATTGTTTCTCATCCAGCTCACCACGAGCACACCCCATCTTTCCATTTGTATAGTTCTTTTTAGCATAAATACGTCCAATGGTCGAGGCTATTTTTTACAAATTATGTCAGGTTTGCTATAACGACGGCTCGACACTTAGGTCACCAGTCATCGTCAGGCAAATCTGAGCGGCAACTTCTAACAAAACCTTTATCGATAGTGAAGGTTGGGGGTTTACTAAAATACAAAGGCTGTTCAAAAAGTACGTAGACTGAAGCTGTAACTTGAAAATCAAAGTATGTAGATAGCTGTTCTTGGTTTCATTTTAAAGATCAACTCATTAGCTGAGACCAAGATCAACTCATTTGGTCAAAAATTGAGAAAGTTATGCAAGTTTAAACTTTGAAAGTAGGTTTTACCCCTACGGTTTTTATTGAAAATTTTCGCTTGCCGAAAGTTGTCACTTGAAATACGTTTTAATACATAATTTTACCAGAAACACTTATCGCAGTAGTCTCTTAGTGATTTTTGTTGCATTTTGCTCTAATTTTTATGCGGTCGATATGAAAAAAGATAAGGAAGTTGAAAAAGAATAACACTTTGTCATTCGTAATTGTGTTCGACGTGGGTTATCAGCAACGGACACGCTGAATGAGATGAAAGACACGTACGGAGATGAGTGTTTGTGTTTTCGTTGACATAAAAAGTTTGAAGACGGTCGGAAGTCTGCTAAAGTTCTCCCAAAGTCTGGTCGGCCTTTGAAAAGTGTTTACACAGTGTGCTATTCATGGTTGCCAAGTGTTTCTGGTAAAATGATGTATCAAAACGTATTTTAAGTGACAACTTTTGGCAAGCGAAAAGTTTCAATAAAAACCGTAAGGGTAAAACCTACTTTCAAAGTTTAAACTTGCATAACTTTCTCAAGTTTTGACCAAATGAGTTGATCTTGGTCTCAATCGATAGATAATGAGTTGATATTTAAAATTAAACCAAGAACAGCTATCTACATACATTGGTTTTTAAGTTACAGCTCCAGTCTACGTACTTTTTAAACAGCCTTTGTATATTGTCTCTTGGCGCGATCGATCTGGGGGCTCTTCGTCATAAATTCCTTTTGCTTTGTTGTTGTTTCAGATTGCAGAATGGGGAATGCAATTTCTACAATTTCTTATCGAGTAACTATGGCAATTGCTTCCATTGCTGCCATGATTTCGCAGCTCCCTGGACCTGTAAGTAGTCAGTATGGGGTCGTTCCATAGGGAAAGAATTAAAGATTGGATGTTTCATTCTAGATGTTAACTGGTTTTTTATGTTAGGAAGGTATTAAATTTTCTATTTAAACATATTTAAAACATTTTATATTAAACACTTCGCAAAAAGGAACAAGCGCGAATACCTTTAGTTGTGCAAAAATGTTGCTTCTTCATATGATTTCTTAAAAAATCTCCCAAAATAGCAAATGGTTTTTGCTTCTCACCAAAAACTTGTGAATTCTAAAGGAAAAAAAAACGTGTATATTTTAATACTGTGCATATTCTGCATTAATCTTGAATCCTCCAGAAACCCTCATGATATAGAGATATATGCCATGTTTAATGATTTGCAACATACTTGCCGAGGCAACATGTTTCACTAGAGTGACTCAGAAAAGAAACAAAAGAAAATCAACCTTGGACATTTATGTTCCCAGTAGAAATTCTGGAAGATACGCAACATGAATACAGCTGAAAAAAAATTAGGGTCGGTTATTTAATTCCACTTTTTAGACAAAAGTCGTTCTCTTCTAGGAACCAAAATCCGAGACGGCAATTTGTTTTCTGAAATTCTGTACTATCGGTTTCTTCTTTCCTGCTTTTAGGTACAGGCCCTTGTTCCAGCCGTCGTATCGGAATTAGCTGTTTCAATAAATCCAGTCGGAAGGATACTCTTAATAGCTGATTTCGTCAGAAGGCATGTCCCTTGGAACAGGCTATGGGAATTCGTGCAAGACATATTTTCTCGGACCGAGGACCGCATATCACGTTATTCACATCTAGTCAGCAGGGCGATCGAAGGTAAGTTCAAAGAAATCAATGGATCGTATTCGATAGCGGTTTCATGTATCGTTTGGTTCAAAACAATAGGACATAAACTCAAACCAAAGTTGTAGGATACCTGTCAGAAAAGCTGAAAATGAAAAATTTCGTAGCAATTTCACTACTCTTGGCCAATAAGTACTCATACGATACGAATCAAAAATCTATCACTAGATACCCGTTCTGCCTCATAACTCAATTGACCTTAGAGGCCAAGTTATAGGCTTTGTTTATGTTTTGAATCAATCGATATCGATACAGTCTCACCAGTTTGATGTATCGGATACGATCTATGGCTTATAAGCGGCGAATACTTTGATACGATTCTAAGCAGGGTTCCTGTAACTTTAAAAAGTCCCCAAGTATCTTTAGTTTATCCTAGTAGTCCCTAAGTATCCTTAATATATCCTGAGTGGTCCCTAATATAAGTAATCATTGTCTTATACCCAAGTCACTGATTCGAGTCTCGGGTTCTTTAGGCCCGAGTTCGTCGGATTTGAATTTAAAGACGAAGGCGAGGAAGAAGAGGTGGAGGATGGGAGAGAAAAAAGCGTAGATAAAGAAATTCTTGTTCCTATTTTTCCTCTTCTTGCTTTTATTTTCCTTTTTAATCGCCATCTTTATTGCTTCTCCCTCGACATGTAGAACTGTTGGTCCATTAAAACAGACGACAAGTAAGAGGAGAACAAAAGAAATTGAAGAATGTTTTCGCATTTTACAACTTTTTCTGCAGAGAACTTGTGAAGGTGAAAGTGCTGGCCAGGGTTTATAAAAACGTAAAAAAACCGCTGTAGGTATTTACTCAGTCTTTAAGCACACACGAACCGGAAATTGATAGCTGTTTCCGTTCGCTCAAAAGACGGAAACCTGCATTACTTTTTGAACACCTCCATATCCATTTGTTTTGTTTTTTTCCAGGACCCGGAAGCAACTCCCGATGATCGTTAGGGATGATACAAGTTCCTTGACGTGACATGCCCGCCATGCAGGTGTTCTGTGATCTGGACGATATTTAATTTTTTTTACCCGAATATCATCATAGTTTTAGATTTCTGTGCTAATTTTTTCAATTATTTCGATGTATAAAAATTAAAAATAAAATAATGCGATTTTGATTTAATTCAATATGTCTTGTGTTCAAAAGATTGGCATTGTTTCTTGGGTTACCGTTCACCTTTCTCCAACGATGTAAAAAGTTGAACCGCGTTTAACTGAAAAGAACCGAGCCATATGAGTCAATGCCAAATTCATTTGTGCAATTTAATTTTTTAAGGGAGAACGTTTGTGCGGCTTCCTTCGACAATTTTTGAGGAAGTTGGAGAAAATTCACTGAAATTTGCACGAAAATCTACAGAACCGTTTTCATGTAAAAAGTTAAATTGCGCAAATAAATTTGACAATAACTAATGTGGCATGGTTCCTTTCTGTTCAACGCAATCCAGTTTACACCAATACTGACAAAAGGAAAGAGGTAGAAAAAATTATCTTGTACACCCATTTCAGTTGGGTTTGTATTTGGACCGCGTTAAGCAGAAAGAAACGAAGCCACATTAGCTATTGCCGCATCTATTTGGGCAATGTAAAATTTTACATGAAAACTTTTGTGCGGATTTTTGCGCAAATTTCAGTGAATTTTTCGCACAGGACGAGGCAAATTCCATACTATTTCCGAAGAACCCGCACACACGCACTCTCGTAAAAAATTACATTGCCCGGTTAAATTTGGCACTAACTGATGTGACTTGGTTACTTTCTGCTGAACGCTGTCCATTTAAAAAAAAAATTGAATCGCTCTCTAAAACCTATTGGAGATTACATTACTGAACAACTTACTAAACTAAAGAGTGAATTTCCATTTATAATCAATGTCCATCATGATCTAGCTGTTTTTAACCTATCGGATATTGTTTCTTTTCTAAAAAAAATTGAGTGGACTAATAGAAAAGGCACAGCAATTTAAGCATTCTGATATATGTTTGCAACCAAAATTCTACGTTGAGCATGAATTTTGCAATGAGAATTACTGAAATCAACTCTTACCTAAGATATTAAAGTTTTTAGCCTACACTGGTCGAAGGGAATTTGAATTCCCTGCTCACGAAAAAACAATGGTCTTTTTGAATCAAATATCGCACTACATAAATTTTGGCAGGCAGCTTAATGGATCAATGTTCTTTCCCCGCTTTGTGTTGTTCAAAGTTTTAACAGCGTAAGAACCAAGGTGGAGCACCGATGAAATTGAAGTTGCCATTTTTTTCACGCTGCAGAGACCCTAACGATAACGTTTAGTAGTACGCGATTTGCTTCAAGTAGACATTTGTTTTTTCATGAGCGGGAGGTTTTAATTTACCTACACATCGATAAACATTGAATACGACAGATCGCTGGGGAGAATTTCATGAGCTGCCCTCCGCACGCCCCGATTTTCATTATTACATTTCATCCAGCTGAGAGTTCACTGATTACTTCACACGACCAGTGTGTAATTTTAAAAGTGAACATATTAAAAAAATTTAAAAGAAAAAAAAACTAATTACACAGTACACGAGTTTCTCCACCAGGAAGCTCTCCCCGGCAGAAATCGGTCACCACCCGCGCCCGCCAGCCGGAAGAGCCGCGGCGGCGCGGCGTGTTATAAACTTGCACACAATTTACAGGTCAGGATGGTTAAATGTANTTCAAGCATCGCGCAATGCGTGAAGTATCCCCTTAGGTTTGTAGGCGTCAGTGCGCGTTTGGCGCTGGCAGCACGTCGCGCCGCGCCGCAGCGTGTTATAAACTTGCACACAATTTACAGGTCAGGATGGTTAAATGTAGGCAATTTTACATCAAATTCGAAATTAGCGACTCCAAAAACATCTGTTATGAAACAATCGTGATCTTTCAGTCATCATCTTTATTTCTTCCTATTCTTGAGTTTTGGACTATAGTGCGCCGCGGCGGCCCTGTTCTCAACCGCATTGAATACCTCGGGGAGGAGTTAGTTGCTACAATTTTCATTGCGCGAATCGTATTCCTTGTGACATTCTTGTTATAAAACGTAAGCACATCAGAACGCTTTAATTCGTAGTACCGTACTCGTCCATGCTTTCATATACGGTACTCTTTCTCAACAAATAGGGAGGGAATTAAAAATGGGTAAACAAGACTAAAATATTAAAGATCACTAAACGGCAGGACGTTTCGAGCTATTACACTGAAAAAAATGGTAAGTAGTGAGAGTCCATACTGCTTGAAAAACTTACGGTATGAACTGCTCGGTCATACGATTTGGCTTTCACGACTACAGCAGAGATGTGCTGTTAACATGTCGTGTATGGAAAAGCATGTGTATGAACTTGACGTTTAGGTATACAATATAGACGCTGGGTCCATACGGAATAAACTCAGAGCACCTACTCTGCGTATGTAATATTTGTTTATACTAAGATGAACTCTACCTCTATTCATAAGTCGGCATCAAATTTTTCACAATCTGTAAGTGACCTCGACCCATAATTTATGAAGCGTGAGTGCATACATTTTTTTCAGTGTACCAGCTAATTATTGGCTGCAAAAAATACGAAAAAAGAAAGGAAAAATTAAAAAAAAATAGAGTGGCAACCTGACCCCAGCCGATATCCCGTAACCACGCACAAATTCCTCAACTTGAGCACTATTTTCTAAAAAAATGAAAGAAAAAATTTACTTCCATGATATCATAGCTCCTACGACTTACATTTGTAAGTTGTAGGAGCTATATGTGGTTATTCCCAGCATTTTTAAGTAAAAATTTTCTTATCTTCGATTTTATATTCAACTAGGGGGCTACGCCACCTGGCCGCTACGCGGCCCAACCCCCTGAAGGCGCTCCGCGCCATCAATGGGCCGCTTCGCGGCCCTATTTTTACCCCCCTATCAGCGTTAGTTTTATTTTTCCCCTAAAAAATTACGACATGAGGTATATTTTACTTTTTAGAATGAAATGATTTTTCTTTTTGATAAATAAAGAAGAAAAAAATGAGAAGGCAGAAGGATGCGATTCTCAATGATTTCTTTGTGCTCCATTGCAGTAAAACAGCGAATTGGGACGGACAGGTATATTCCAAACGATACCCAAGCGGGAATTGAACTCCCATCCCGTCATTATCAGGTTCAACTGACGTCTTAGACAACTCGGCCACTGTCTGATGTATGGAACAATCAGTGAATCTTGTATACATAAGTACAGAGCTGATGCGCAGGCTGCACATGCACTGCGCAACCTCCTCGACCACTGCGCATCCTCCCGCGCATAGCGGTGGCAGTCCCGGAGCATCCTGTAAATTCACTCACTTTTATAACGTGATTTTAAAAAAAAAAACCTGGGTCCTATTTCCAAAATCTGATTAGAGCGGGCTCATCTAGGGCCTATCACCTGTCGATTTACGCAAAAATCATGGAAATCGCTCAAACGAACTATGACAAAAAGTATTTTACATTGTTTAAATGGGAGAATTCGCAACTTTACCACGTAATATAAAAAAACCTGGGTCATATTTGGAAAAACTGAATAAAACTGGCTAGTCTAGAGACAATTTCCCGTCGATAGCCGCAAAAATCATGAAAATCGGCCCGGTAGAACGCTGGAACTAAGCGTCACCAGTTACGCAAAATTAGGAGGTCTTGGAGCTTATATTCTCCATGATTTTTCGTATTCGATAGCAGAAGATTTGGTTCAAAATTTAAGATCGAAAATTTGGATTGTTTCGCATGGAAGCGATGAATTAAGAACGAAAATTTTGAAACACCGCAATGGAGATACGTGGTTTCCTTTTTCAGTCGGTGCGATACGGACAGCCATCAAGTTTAAAAGGTTGCATCAAGTCCCCATCACCGCCGACCAACGCGTTTGTGGATGGAATCAACTACAGGTATTATGCGTAGGAAGTCAAAACGCCTTCAAATTTTTGAACGCAATACGGACATCCGTCGAGGTTGTATAGTTGTATCAAGGCGCCGTAGCAGACGCGTCCCATTGTTTATCGTTACAGACGAATGTAAGTTGAGAGAGGAAGGTCATAACGCCTTCAATTTTATACATACATATTTCTGGGCAAAAATGAGAGACGACGTTTCTCCATTTGCGACGTTGTAGACTTCCGTAGAAATTTTATTTTTCTTTCGAGAAGCTGGTCAACATAAAACTTAAAATTTCCATGATTTTTCGTATTCGATTGCAGAAGATTTGGTTCAAAATTTAAAGTCGTGAATTTGGATTGTTTCGCATGGAAGCGATGAATTGAGAACGAAAATTTTGAAACACCGCAATGGAGATACGTGGTTTCCTTTTTCAGTCGGTGCGATACGGACAGCCATCAAGTTTAAAAGGTTGCATCAAGTCCCCATCACCGCCGACCAACGCGTTTGTGGATGGAATCAACAACAGGTCTTATGCGCAGAAAGTCAAAACGCCTTCAAATTTTTGAACGCAATACGGACATCCGTCGAGGATGTATAGTTGTATCAAGGCGCCGTAGCACACGCGTCCCATTGTTTATCGTTACAGACGAATGTAAGTTGAGAGAGGAATGTCATAATGCCTTCAATTTTATACATACATATTTTTGGGCAAAATGAGAGACGACGTTTCTCCATTTGCGACGTGGCAGACTTCCTTAGAAATTTTATTTTTCTTTCGAGAAGCTGGTCAACATTAAACTGAAATGTATATGATAGTGCCGAGGTGTAGAGACGATTGAAGGCCGTGGGTGCCGAGGCTCTCATCGCCTCTCTGTACCAATGGGACGTCTCGCTTGTCACGATTACGAGAAACGGATGTTTTTAAAAGGTTTGCAAGTTCACCCGCAAGGGTCATCTGCCACTCGCGCGGACAAGTGGAGAGGGGTTAAGCTTTTCGAACGGAAAGATCGGACTCAGCGAGTCATTCCGAGTGGACTAGCTTTGTTTCGGCTCGATCGGAGAACTTTCTATTTTGACCCTAAAAATTTAGTCCATGTAACCCCTGTCCATTTTTCTCGATTTTGGACGGGGAAAAAAATTTTAGATTACTGTCGGATCCTACGTAGTTGAAGGCGTTGAATCGATTGCGCAAGGTCCCGAGGCTAGGCGAGGCCTTCTGAGCCGAGAAACCGTCGAAAACGAGCGTTTTTGACCGTTGCAAAAGTGCGTTTCTCGTCGGTATCGCCGTCTAGCGGTCTCGTGGAGCTTTTCCGATCGGAAAATCGGACTCAGCGAGTCATTTCCACGTGAACTAGCTTGGTTTCGGCTCGATCGGAGAACTTTCGATTTTGACCCTAAAAATATAGTCCATGTGACCCCTAATAGACATATATAAACACTACACTTAATACAACTTCTGAAAGGTGTTGCCAAATGTGGCGAAACCCCTTGCTAATGACTTTTCTCGCTTTAACATAATTTTTTCAGTTTAAAATGACAATTTTCTTGAACATTACAGTCACATTTCGACAGATATTGCTGAAGAAGCCATGATACTGATTTATTACCACAAATTGCTCTTTTTATTCAAAATCGAGGTACCGGACATGTGCGGCCTTTAAAGTCTCATATTATTAAATATAATCATAATTCATCACATGTTTTATTATGGACAAGTTCAGGAACATCATTCCTATTAATTTATCAACTTGGTTTTTAATTGTTTTGCCTTCAGTCGTTTATAACCCACGGCGACACGACTATTCCTCATATCGTGAAAACACCCATAATCGATTGGGCAGGGCCCCGAGGTTCGGCTAGGCCTCTTGAAAAACGCGTGTTTTTCACAGACATGGTGTCCTAAAACTGGTTAGCAAAAATCAAGTACTTTTACAGTACTTTTGTGGTACCTCTCTACAAAATTCAGTATCTCAGTACTTTTCCGGAACCTTTAAGTCGATTGTTGGTTTGAGTTCCTATTATTATATTTAGTTAGATTTCTTACCGTGTGTTTATTTTTAATTCTTCTATAAAAATTATTCATTTGCTAAGTAAAATCCTGGCTTGAACACACTTAGACTATGTCAAAACTGCAATAGCGGCAAAGGAAAACCGACCAGGCGAGCGCGGAGGCTGATTTAAGATTAATTTTTCATCGCATTGCTAAGGCGCAACATACAACTTTTCGTACTCTCCGGAATGAGTGCGGTATCACGCCACAATTGAAGGCGTTTCTAAAACTGCCAATTATCCATATCGGGATTTTCGTGTCGCATAAATGGACCGATTTTAACCTAAAGGAACCAAGCCACATCAGCTATTGCCAAGTTTAACTTGGCAATTACATTTTTTTACGAGAGAACGTTCGTTCGGACTTCTTTGAAAATTTTAAGGAATTTGCTTCGCACCATGGAGAATTTTCACTGAAATTCGCACGAAAATCCGCACAACTGTCTTCATGTAAAAAATTAAATTGCCCAATTAAATTTGGCAATAGCTGACGTGGGTTAGTTCCTTTCTGTTTAACGCGGTCCAAATAGGGTGTCTTCTAAAACTGGCTGGCAAATATTGAGTATTCTTACAGTACTTTTCAGTACTTGTCCAAAAAATTCAGTATCATATAAGCAGAAAAATTCAGTACTTTATTGGTATACCTGTAGGTGACGAAATTCGAAAATTGTCGAAATTCACGTGCATATTGTGAGAAAAAGGACGTAGCCAGGAAATTCGACCATTGGTAGCCCTAGGCCAAGGCCATCAGTGACCTACTACCTACTACTACTGACCTATCTACTACACTGTTATGCTATGGAAGAACGCCGCACGAGTCTTCAGGCGTTGCCTAAATCCCTCGATACGAACAAATCACAAATTTTCGGAAAAATGTATATATATTCTTCATACGATTTTTCTGAGAATTTTGTTCGTTATTTCATACAACGTGTCTGCAAATTGCGAGGAAAAATATTCATAACTTCCCGTAAAAATAAATATTTTCTAAGAGGAAATTTAGCAACATGCGAATGCTCATGCGACGTTATTCCTTAGCGCGGCAGTACAGATAAATAGACCGTATTCGATAGTGGTTCGATGTATCGTTTGGTTCAAAACAATTAAACATAATCTCAAACAAAAATTTTAAGATTTTAGTTGGAAAAGCTAAAAATGAGAAAATTTTTAACAACTACACTTTACATGGGCATTTGGTGCGTAAAACATTAAAAAATCTATCACAAAAGACCCGTTCCCTCAGACTGCTAAATTGACTTTTGAGGCTATGTTTACATTTTGAACCAATGGATATCGATACAATCTCACCTCTTTGATGTATCGAATACGATATATTGCGCGACGGATTGCATATTTTCCAGGCTCTTTTAAAAAAACACCGGTGGCATGAAGCAAAAAATCCCGAACCTCGTCTACAGGGAATTTCCGTACTTTTTCAGTACTTCCGGACCGCCCTCAAAAAATCAGCACTGTAGGTGTGCTAATCAAGGAGAATAAAACACAAACGCTTGTTTCGATCTCTTGACATTATTCCGAAGCTTTACTTAAAATATCTTTTAGATACAAAGAACTTATTTAAAACAGAGTTAACTTTAACAACAGGATGAACATTTAGAAGGAAAACAAAAGTACTTAACTTAAAGAGAGAAATTCACTAAAAACTAGATGATATTTCAAGCTGTGGTCCATTTTTAGGCGGATGGTTCTGAAACAAAGAGAGCAGTCGAATTAAAATCATGCTATGACACAATGCAATTTGCCTCATGCTTGATCAAAAAATTAGCTAACATTCTAAAAGCTGAGCCTCCTGCTGCTTTTGTGCTCGTCAACGATATTTTTCGAGAGTATTTCTAACCTTGCCTCCTGCATGTGAGGTCCTCTCAAAGACATAAAGACGGAGCGCTAAAAGCAAAAAATGAAGCTTCTTTTCAATCACCTCTACTATTGGCTAGAGGATTGGCGGCGAAATCGGGACAAGTTTGAAATTCAAATGTAGGGCGGGAACTAAATAAAATTGCGGAAATAAAGTATTATAGGTTGATTTTTGCCTAAATTCACTTACACACCCATATTTTTATAACTTTAGGTTAGTTTTGGTCCGTCGTCGACCGATTAATTTCATTTGGGAGTAACGGTCATCTACGACTGTAACGGCCTATTTGAACCGGCAGAACCACCATGAACAGAAGAAAAACTAACTTTATCTGAGATTACTGCCTGTTACCGAGCAAAAGTAGGTGTATGTGTGTGTGAATCTTAAGAATGACACCGGAAAATAATTCGACGGCTTAAGTGGGCAATCACATAACTCGGTTTATGACGTCGCAGACTTCCTGTCGTACTTTATTTTTTAAACGGAAAACTACTCAACGGCAATTCTTTATAACTGCCGTGATTTTTCTTCTCTCTGCGAAGAAAATTCTGAATAAACTTCAAGGAATGATGTCAATTGGTTCTCTTTTAAAAAAAAATAACATAGAGGCGGAGATTTTCAGACACCGCGAACGAGATAATAATGGCGGACTTACGCCGTCGAATCACGAATTAAAATGAAATGAAGATAAAAATAAGCGGACGATTACTCACTTATCGTTCGGATTAGATGTTAGATGTTAAAACAATAACAAATGTTTTTGTTGTTTGAAGATTCCAGGATGTACTAACTTTTAATTTCCCCTCCTGAACTGTTCACGAGTAATGCGGCGCGACGGTACGAGTTATGTGTTATTGGAATTAACGCCGAGATACGTGTTTTGAGTTCTACACGTTTTTAGGTGACTTCCAGATTTTTTTCGACTGAAATATTTTGATAGCAGGTAAAGGGCATCTACTACACTTTATTTCTCCAGCTAACTCAAAATCGACAAAAATCGAGTTATGTGATCGTCTACTGACACCGTCGACATGAGTTTTTTTTCCCATTTAAAAAATAAATTACGACCGGCAGGGTCGACGGTGAAACTACCAAACCACGTATCTCGGTTTGCGACGTCGCAGACTTCCTGTCATACTTTATTTTTTAAATGAAAAGCTACTTAACGTCCAGTCTTGAAAATTTCCGTGATTTTTCCTCTTCGTGCGGAGAAAATTCTGTGAAAATTTCAAGGAATGATATTGATTTGGTCTACTTCAAAAAAATAAAATGTGAGCGGAGATTTTTAAACACCGCAAACGAGATACGTGGTTTGGTAGTTTCACCGTCGAGGGTGCAGTTTCGCAAACAAAAAATCACGTTCCTGCTGAAATACCGCCGGTAACTCCCTCCGGTCGAAGACTTGAGGAAAATTTTGTATCAAGGGATAGTATTGATCCGTTGCATAGTTACCTTTCGTTCCCAATCTAATCCTCTAATTTTTTCCTCTGTAACAAAGTTTCTAAATCATGGGGTAGAAATACCAATTTTTTTACTCCCAGAAATTCTTGGCCCATTTTGTTGGAGTTCAATTCCAAAAGACATGCGATTTTTATTAGTTGAAAATCAAAGCAAACTTTATGATTAGTTAAGTCATAAATACAGGTGATGCTTCAAGCAAAATTGACATTCCTGAGCAAAAGATAATTTTTGCAAGTATGACAAGTAAGTATCTCGGCTGTAAATATTCACGACATTCACTTAGGCTACACTATTGGAGTTATTTCAAAGCGTTTCCAGTCAAATTCTGTTCACTGGTACCTAATGTGCTACGGTGTGGTCACCACACTGTGATGTGATGCTCAGAGACTCTTGAGAAATTTCCAAAATCCTTAAATTATAAAGTAATCGATCGACTATGGAACAACTTTCCAAAGTACTGAAGAGGTACCTTCAGAGAGTCACAAATGCAACTGTTGTAAAGTTAGTGATTTCATTTTCATAGAGTGCTGTGGTCCTTTTTACATTGAAGCCACTGTTTGCTGACTAATACCAGCAACCGGTATGGTTCTGCTGGACGAGAGTATACATTGTGGCTTTCTGCGGTCACACAGGGCCTCTTGGATACATGCATAAATCCTGAGAGGGAACACTGCGTAGTAAACACTATTGTAGAACACGCATATCAGAAAAACTCGAGGGGAAAAAATGGAGGTTGAATGATTTTGACACTCTTTTCAGAACGCTAAAAGCACATGACTTTGAGATGCGTATTAGGTCCACTTGTGATAAATGATGACAGAAAGGTTAGATGAGCGGACTGAGAGAAAAAATGTATAAGAGGCCAGAACTTAACGGGTCAGTTCAGCTGATAGAAGTCAATAAAGTAAAATTTAAGTATAAAAGTGTTAAAAAAAAAAAAAAAAAAAAAAAAAAAAAAAAATATCACATGTAATTTTCAACACTAAAAATGTATGAAAAAAATGTTAAAAAATACAGTGATAATCTAAGGGTTTTGGTGACCCTAACAACTTAAATTTTACTTGAAAAAATGATTGAAAAAGGTTTCCTATTACGAACATTTTAACAATTTTTTTCAACAGTTTTTGAAAAATGTTTTAAAAGGTCATTGATACTAGGGTACTTCCGACCCATGGAGTGAAAAGGTTTTCTAAACTGGTTAGTAACAAAGGTGATAAAAACAAGAAATGAGAGGGGAGAAAAAATCCAAATAGAAGAGGCACAAGGCATTGGTAGAAATTCCTCTAGGAAGTTTCTCTTTGTTAATAGAACTCAGGGTATGGAGGAGTTGAAGTAACTGTTGAATGAAGAGAGCAGGATAAAACAAAGCAATTAGGTATCAGAAAACAAACGCTATTAGGTATCACCCTTTTAAAATCACACTGCTGTTTAACTTACTGTTCAACTGAAAGATTTTATTGTTGATCTGTAAAATTATAAGAAATGATTAAAATCCAAATAGTGTAGAGAAGTTTCTGCGATTCATAGTGAGAGTGTACTAAGACTTGCGTTGACACTACAGATGATAAAATTAGCATGATAAAAGACTACGAATTTCACCTTCCTTACAGAGAAAAAATATGAATAATGCTTATACACAACTGGCTAGATTTCTTTTGACCCATGAGGGTAAAGTAGAGCTGGCGCAACGAGTTCTGCACTTCATGCCTACTTTTTATTGTCTATGATTCTTAGTCCTTGGCAGTATCTTACTTGCAGATTGGAAACAGTCTTGTGCTTGAGTACATGCTCTTTCATCCAATGTGGAGCTAATCCTACTTTTTGTTGATAGAAACAGCTAAAATCAGATTTAATAAGTCCTCCTGAAGTTTCATACTCTTCATTTTGTCGCTCATCTGACGTATCTCTATTTCCACTTGAGCCCCAGAAAGTAACGAGTTTCACAGAGAACACGGCTCACATAAAAATAGAGATATGACCTTACGTTACAGGAGGGACAATTTGTTGAAGGAACAGTTCAATGGATCAGTGAGATTTAATTCATAATAAGAGAGTACAGAGTGAACTAAGCCTCTAGGAATTTTTTTTTTTTTTATTTGTTTTTTTAAACCCTAGGTAGCAAAGAAAATTGGTTTTGAAAATGCCAAAAAAAGGGATCTGTTTGCGACAATATTTTTAGGGGGTACTGATGACATAATCAGGCAAAGGAGACAGTGTCAGATGAACTCATCTATCAGCATCGTCTTACTGCGGCAACTTGACTATTGCTTTCTAATTGTTCGGATTTTGATTAGCTTTTTCAACCACAATTATTTTTTTTACTATAATTTTTTTTTCTTTTTTTTTACGAAATTTGATGGAAGGATAACTGTTCCACAGCCCTGCAAAAATTATTGCCACTGTCCTACTTAAATTTTCATTTGAGCAAAAAAAGAACTAATACTAAAACATGTTTAACTACCAGTTTTTAAAGTTTTATTTTTAAAATTCAAAGGACTTAGGAATTGATTATTTGAACGAAATCAGAATGCTGTCAAAGCTCATCATTAAGTTCCTCAAAACGATTTTTCTTCAGATACCTACTTTGAAGTTTCATTTTTCAGATTCTGACTAAACTCGCATAAATAAAATATAATTTTTTTTAGAGTTCTCTATTGTTACATTCCCCAGATAGAAATAACATTTAGAAATGGCTCCGCGTGAAGAAACATGTACCAAGGAATCAGCATTCTAACTTGGCATTCAAATCAACCGACCAGCAGACTGTATTCACTTTGAAGGTGAAAGAGCAGAAGAAAAAGAGGAAGAAAAAGAAGGAATTGATAAAGACCGAATGTGTAGAATGGGGAAAGCAAAGAATGAACAAATGTATCATCAGAAAATAGCATCATTCCACATAAATTTCTTGGGTGGCCAATCGGCCAACTAAGGATTGATGCATTCAGGTAGATGGGGCACTTGTCCATTCTTCTCTTTCCCCAGTTCTATCAACCCCGTCTATTTCTTGACAGAAGTGCTTCAGAACCTACCAAAGATGTTTCAGAGTGTATCTTCTAAAATACTTATTTTGGAGATTCATTTTTAATTCATTTCCAAAATAAAAATTACCTAGAAGCATTATTTTCAATAAATTTCAAAGCAATAGTCCAGATGGTTTTTCTAGATAAAAGTTCTTGATCTTCAATACTCAGAAACTTAGTAAGAAGAGTCAACTGTAAGTAATTCAAAAGCTTTTGATGGCCCTGATTGACTTGAAGAATTATGATACTTCGACCTACTTAAACATTCCCTCCATGAAGGGCATAACAGAAGACGGTAGGAACTGACTGAAGAGATCAAAACAACAATTAGGTATTCATTTAAATCCTGCTGAGTTTTGACAGTTTTGTGTGTACTTGTAGACATACATTAGTTGCTTGACCTCAAATTGAACATATAGTGCCTGCTAAACCAGTACCTGTTTACTGGACAAGAAGTTTATATAGGTAATCAATACGAGTAATGGACAGGTAGCTACGAAAGAGAGAGAAAAAAACTTACTTTCTGGTTTGCCATCCTTCCATGCGGTAAATTTGACATGGGAATCTTCCCTCTTTGCTGCATCAGCTTTGAATTCGGGTTTCAGGACTCGTCTGACAATTTTGGCGGCAATGTTTGAATATTGGATGTAGCTGTAAAAAGAATAGGACAATACCATAAAACTCACTAAGTATTATAAAGGATAATTAGTCTCTATATCATTTATATAATTATTGTTATTAGCCTCTAACTCAGATCAATGGCAAAAGTTTGATTCACTGCAATGAAGATACCCGATTTTGAACTTTGGACATCGATAGGTGTGTTACGCAATGATGTATGGCATGGCATTTATGTCGGCAAATGAAAATAAATAATAAATGATCAAATTATACAATAGACCGTTTATTGAGTGTCAGACACTTTCGGTGATTCCTAAATTAAATCTTGAATTAAAAAAAAAAAGAGGTCAGCTATGTTGTTTTACTCTTTGAAAAAGCTGTCATTTATTGATTTGCTTCAACAGTGGAAACATGACAAAAGATTCCAAACTGTAGATAAGGCAATTGTCTACTATTCAGGAATAATATTGCAAATAAAAATTAACCTAATCTAAAACTAAAGAAAATCGCTGTATGTAAGGTGCAATATAATTAAGCTAGTGTCCTTTCCTTGAAAACTGAGTTTGTGCACTTTTAGACTGCAACAGTGGATCATCTAACATCAGTTCAGCATTGAAAGTAAATGCATGAGTCGAGCCGGCAGACCTTCTGTTGCAGTCTGAAAATGCGTAACTACATCGCATGGACTCGTTCATTTCAGTCAGTTGACTCTAAAATAGTATCAAACTAATTAGTGCTGTCAAACGGCCTGTTCGTCTTGAAATTGTCACTTTCATACTGACGGAGACATATCCCACTAGGTGAGCGGTTGAGATAGGAAAGGTAAAAATGAATGAGCTCATCTCTTCCTCTCGGGTTTATTCCTTCAATTGTGTGAATAAATGAACGTTCAGCATTTGAGAATGGGCGTTGTTAGCTAATCGGTGGTGGTTTGGGTCAGCCTCTCCTGAGCTCAGACATGCAGCTAACATTAATTCGGATAAATGACCTCATCGCAGAGGATGAATTATCAAAGAGGTACTGCTAATACTGGTGCGACATGCGGTGCTGAGCCAGAGAGATTGGACGAGATAAAAAGAAGATGCATTATCTTTCCATTTGAAGGTTAAGCAGGTTACAACTTTGGATCAATAATTTCAGACCATCCTGGAGTGCTGAATTATGGAAACCAAGAGAGGGCAGATTTTAAAGTTTAGAAAATTGAAACTTACTTGAGTCCAGCAGCTCTCCACGCAGTCATGTTGAATTTTTTAGGGAAATATCTACGCTGAAACACAGATAACAGCGGATAACACAGCAATAATAACCTCAAAATCCGAGAAGCGCCTCTGCAGTGCTCTGCAGAGATCAGTCCTCCTGCTGCAGCCAGCCGAACTCTCACCATGAACCAATGCACCTATTTAGCGCCAAATACGAATTCCCCGCTAGGTATACGTCTTACCCGTCTTTACCGTCTCGCTTAACGGAAACTGATTTGCCTTATAACTCACGATCGGACCAACAGGTGGCAAAAAGGCAAGTCAGATGGTAAAAAGTGTTAGGGGGGGGGGATTAGGGAAAAATTACGCTATCGAAAATTTCCAAACTTAAATTATAATTATGGGACTTAAGATAAAGTGTGTGCCGTCTCTGTGCCTTCACGTCACGGTACACACATTTTTTTAAAAAACGGAAATCGAGACAAAACCAAAAGCTAATTGACCTTAAAATTATTGATCGGGTACTTAGTTCGATTGCGGTTGCTTTTCAAAAACTTCCAGAGCCGTCTTTAGTCATAAGAGGGCAGGAGCCGGCTATTGCCCCCTCGTGCAATTTAAAGTTGACTTTCTGGGGGAAGTGCAATTTTAGTCAATATTGATGATCCGTTTTAGGTCATCTCAGGAGATTTGTCGAAGTTCTGACCTATCTACAAAAATTTGCCCACTCCGCTATTTTTGTGTCCTCCCCCCCCCCCCCTTCTTTCCTCACGGATCGGACTGCCTCCAAATTTTCCGATGGTCGGGCCACGTCAAAATTCAAAAAGTATAAAAGTACATGAGGCCCTTTCCACCTTTCTTGAGGGTGGATCAATTTTTCGTAAAATCGGCCAATGGAATTTGGAGATATCCCTATAGCAGCAGTGGCTGTAGAGAAAAGTTGTAAAAAACTCGTAAATTTTAAGAGAACTTAAGATTTACTTCAAAATCACTTGAAAATTACGTAAAATTACGCAACTCTTGAAATGTTCGTAGGTACTAGGAAACCCTTTTTGGGGCTTTTTTTTTTTTACATAAAATTGAAGAGAAATTTTAAGTAAATTGTTTTATGTAAATTTTAAGTAAAATTTACGTAATTTCTTTTCATAAACTTCCTGCGAGCAATAACGAGGGGAAAAAAGTGGTGAACAGAAAAGAATAAAAGGAAGGGTTGCAGCCCATAAAAATTGAGGATATAGTTTGATGTTTTTCACGTAAATTTTAAGTTTTATTTTAATTAAAATACTTAACACTATTTTTTTATTTAAAAGAATTCCCCAAAAGGGTTTCCTAGAACGACTATTTTAAGAGTTGTTTTACTTAAATTTTACGAACTCTCAAAATTTACAAGTTTCTTGATAACTTTCAGTGGAATTTTTTTTAAGAAATAAGAATCATATTGCTACTAAAGATGACATTCTATGCGCCTTCTGGACATGAAGAAGGTTCTTGACGGTCGAAAGTACTGCCGTGCTAAGGAAAAACGCCGTATGAACCTACAGGCGTTGCCAAATATCCTTTAATAATATACCAACATCCTGGTGGACTTATGAATATTTTTCTTTTAACCTTTCAGACAGGGCCGGCTTTACTCCCGCCCGGCAAAATTACGTTGTGGTAACGTTGCCAAAACGTTGCAATTTCGCCATTTACGTATTCGGGCAACGTTGTGGTAACGTTGCCACAACGTGTAATTTTGTCAGCTTGCATGAACGTAAATTGGCAANTCTGGAAGTTTAGACCCTCCAGGTAACTTCTACACCCTTGGTTTTTGCTTTTAATGATTTTCATTTTTACCGTGAATGTCCCGTTTCTGTAATGGGCTCGTCCCAATGTGCGGCTATTGCCCCCTCGTGCAATTTAAAGTTGACTTACTGGGGGAAGTGCAATTGTAGTCAATATTGATGATCCGTTTTAGGTCATCTCAGGCGATTTGTCGAAGTTCTGACCTATCTACAAAAATTTGCCCACTCCGCTATTTTTGTGTCCTCCCCCCCTCCCCCTTCTTTCCTCACGGATCGGACTGCCTCCAAATTTTCCGATGGTCGGGCCACGTCAAAATTCAAAAAGTATAAAAGTACATGAAGCCCTTTCCACCTTTCTTGAGGGTGGATCAATTTTTCGTAAAATCGGCCGATGGAATTTGGAGATATTCCTATAGCAGCAGTGGCTGTAGAGAAAAGTTATGAAAAACTCGTAAATTTTAAGAGAACTTAAGATTTACTTCAAAATCACTTGAAAATTACGTAAAATTACGTTAAACGTTGCCGTGCAACTCTTGAAATGTTCGTAGGTACTAGGAAACCCTTTTTGGGGCTTTTTTTTTACATAAAATTGAAGAGAAATTTTAAGTAAACTGTTTTATGTAAATTTTAGGTAAAATTTACGTACTTTCTTTTCATAAACTTCCTGCGAGCAATAACAAGGGGAAAAAAGTGGTGAACAGAAAAGTATAAAAGGAAGGGTTGCAGCCCATAAAAATTGAGGATATAGTTTGATGTTTTTCACGTAAATTTTAAGTTTTATTTTAATTAAAATAACACTATTTTTTTTATTTAAAAGAATTCCCCAAAAGGGTTTCCTAGAACGACTATTTTAAGAGTTTCTTTACTTAAATTTTACGAACTCTCAAAATTTACAAGTTTCTTGATGTCTTTCAGTGGAATTTTTTTTAAGAATCATATTGCTACTAAAGATGACATTCTATGCGCCTTCTGGACACGAAGAAGGTTCTCGACGGTCGGATGTACTGCCGTGCTAAGGAAAAACGCCGTATGAACCTACAGGCGTTGCCAAATATCCTTTAATAATATACGAATATCCTGGTGGACTTATGAATATTTTTCTTTTAACCTTTCAGACAGGGCCGGCTTTACTTACTTGCCGCCCATGGGCCGCCTACATTTTGCCGCCCCCTTCTCATTCGTTTTGAAACATCAGTAAAAACTATCAAGTGAACGAGCCGGAGGGGGAGAGGCGTATAAGACGCGTTTACTCGTGATGGTCACATTTTTTGCAAAAGCCCTGTCAACACTACTAGCAAAAGTTCACGGAACTTGGCGCGAAAGTTAAGTTCCGTAAGTAAACCTATCTCTTTGTGGACAAGGCACTTATAAAAAATGAACCAAAAAATTAAGAAAGAACAAACATAAATGTGGTTTAGTAATTTTAACTTCCGCCGCCGCGCCGCGCCGCGCTGACCGCACTGTGTTTGGCGCAATGCGTGAAGTATTCCTACAGTCTTACATGCGCTATGCGTTTCGGGCCGACCGCTGCTGCACGCTCTGTGTTTGACGCAATGCGTGAAGTATTCATGCAGTCTTGTAGGCGCTATGCGTTTCACGCTGCCTGCTGCAGACCGCAGCGACCGCACTGTCTTTGGCGCAATGCGTGAAGTATTCATGCAGTCTTGTAGGCGCTAATATGTGTTACATGCCGACCGCCGCGCCGAGGGTTACTCCTTTTCATCTCACGTTCTCGTCATCATTGCTCTCTTCGCCGCGCCGTTCCAGGCCAAATTCCGTGTTCGGTTTTTCTCTTAGTCTTAACTCGACTAATTAAAGGTAAAGGTGCTGTCTATTGTATCACAGAAGGACGACAAAATTAGAGATATACTCTGAGGAAATGAGAGATTTTGTCACCTTTTTTGTTCTGTTCTGTTCTGTTTCTGTCAATTTTTTTTTCTGAATCCGATTTTTCTTTATCTACATTTAAAGAAATTGCAAAATTTGCCACCCCCTAAATTTGCCGCCATCGGCCACGGCCCAAGTGGCCACCCCCTAAATCCGGCCCTGTTTTCAGATACATTGAACCGCAATCTCATCTAATAAAGTTCCTGAAAATGTTAAGGAAAAAATGCATAACTTCCTCATAAATAAACATTTTAGGGAATGAACTGTTGCAACTCTCGGAAGTCCATACAGCATTCTTCCTGAACAGTGTTAAGGAAGTGTGTTATTAGTTAGCACGGCAGAGTACTTATGATACAGGAAAACAAAACGCCTTCAATTCTTCGTTTATGCCACAAAAACATGTCAATGTCATGGACACAAAAAGTTGCACACGGGTGCAGTGTGGATCCGATATGCTTTACTTTTGATGATGCGATGTGTCTGAGCAACTATTCGTTCCTAATTGATGTGTTATTAGTATAAACGAAGAGTTGAAGATATTCTGTCTTTCAGATCCTTGCAGTGTTGTCTGTCAAGTGAAGTAGTCCCATAAGAATTTGAATTTTTAAAATTCTAATGCCAATTGATTTTTTCCTGGAATGAAAATGCGGCAATATTCCCATAAAAAATTGAGAATATCTAAAATCATTGGTTGTAGAGCGAAACAGACCAAATTTTTCAACCCTCCTAAACCTCTGGATCTACTTCAGCATTCTCCATGGGCCTAGAGGGTTGGGGACCCTGTGGTCTCCATCCAAAAATTAGACAATTTAGTGTTTCTTCAATGCCTTAAAAATTAATCAATTTTTGTGGCAAACATTGCATTGGGAATTGCGTTCATTTTAATTGAACAGCAATGAAGTTCAAAAAAAGGAGCCCCATCAATGAGTGAGTGGACAACGTACACACTAATCTGATGTAATATTGATAATTTTACTACCTATGTATGTAATTGCAATTAATTGCAAGCTGTGCTACTTGAGTATTAATTGGATTACATTTAGCAATAAGGAATCTCTGGCTCTCCCATAAACGCACATATTTGCATGGGGAAACCAATGGTATGTATATTGTTTCTAAAATGGGCGAGAAATAGTGGTTCTTTATTGCAAAATGTAATCCAACTCAACTGCCAAGTGGGTTCAAAGAAAACACACATTTCATATTCACTTTTTTGCAAGGTTCTTTTTTATTTACAAATTATCTTATGTACAATAAATTACATACTGATATAAAAAGGAGCTCATTTACTTTTCTTTGCATATAGGTAGAGACTGTAAAATTAAAAAAAAAGGAAAGGAAGAGCATTTCCTTTGGGTACGATAAACAATTATTCAACTATATACTACCAATCGTAAGGACAGAAGTCATGGGATTGTGTTCAGAACTTACTGTTATTCAATTTCAGGAATGGAAAAATTATGTTGGAGTTAAATGCACTCAAGTATCATGGTATTCAGTTCATCTTTTTACTCACTTTTGCTTTCTCTCTGATTTCTTCTTGTCTTCTGCTCTCTCAAGCAAATTAATTCCGAAATTAAAAAAGGAAAGGAAATTGAAGTAAAAAGTAAAAAAAAGAAAGTAAAAAGGAAAAAAGTGAAATAGTAAAGAGAAAATAGTTCCAAAATTTCTATAGATTAGAGAAAAGACATTGGCAAAATCTGTGACAACATGTCACAGTGTGATATAATTTTTTGTTCATTAGACACGTGAATATTCGAGGTTTCACAGCTGACGAATTAGATACATCTCAGTGCAGCCTTAAATTGAAAAGCCAGGTCTACATTCATATTTTATTGAATGATAACATTACACATTTTTCAAATAATAAGACAAGGCAAAGTACAGCCAATGTCGTGGGTCAATTAACCATAACTTTAGAAAAGGTAAGAAACTGCACAAAGATTACAAAACATGTACTGAGGAATTTAGTAAAAGGTTTTTCTAAAAATAAAATAAAATTCTAGTAGCCATTGAATTCAGACAATTGGAACTGCAAGAAAAAATCCTATCACACAATCAAAGAAAAGACAAGAATGATTAAAGATTCTAATGGGTTCTTAAAATCACACGCTTTGGCATAAAAGGAGATGCAATCATAATACGTACTGTTTTTTTGAAAAGAGAATAATTACATATATATTTAAAAATAAATATAAAAAGAAAATATTCTCAGGTAAATTTAAGTGACTTTTCAAATAAGTAGATAATGACAAAAGTAACTTAGGTTACCATCAGGCAGCAGGAAGAAAAAAAAATCACCTGTAATTTACCTTGTCTAAAAAAATAAAGCGCACCTTCAAAGAGGTTGAATTAAATTAATTTCCTCTGCCTTTAAAAGTTGAATTTTTGTGCATTAAATTGTAGATAGGACCACAAAGCTGGCAAATAAAAAAAATCAACTCGCCTAACTTTCAATTAATTCCACTGCACTTTACTGAACTAAATACTTTAGATATGATCATTAACCAAAACTCAATTTTTTAGAAAATTAAATGAAGAAAAAAACAAACAAAAACAAACCACACATTTAGAGGAAATTTGATTGTGAGAAAGGAAGTGGTGTGATCAAGAATTAATGTAAAAACTAATAAAGAGTCCCAATGATAATGAGTTTTGTAGGAGAACCAATGCTCACGTACTGATAAATACTTCTGTCATGATTAAAAAGTCCTCAATGATCCAAGTCCAAAAAATTACAAAAATTACTTTCTATCTAACATATAAAACAAGTAACAACGGCAGGTGCACTCACTTGCCACTTGCCTTTAAACAGGAAAAAATCTGAAACATAGAGTCAGATACTTGCTCTTCCTTAAAGAAAAGCTAATAAGTGAATACAAATAAAAAAAAAAAAAAAAAAAAAAAAAAAATTAAACTTTCTATAAATTGAAAAATTTAGGAATTGGTGTCATCACATGGGGAAAAAGGAAAGCTGGACATCTGCGCACCCCAGAAAACCATTGTACAAGATATGTATCATGGACCAGCCCTTGTGACAATCGCTCTTTACGGCAAGCAACTTTTCTAAAAAAATTCAGCCTTGAATGAATTCAAATTTTCTTTTTGGTGGAAAGTTGCTAATAAAATATTGGTTAAAATCAACAATGGAAAATAAAGTATTAACTGAGAAGGAATAACTGGTATCTTTTGCGGAAGATGTAGAGCACCCAGCAGAAAAACAAAAAGTGAATATTTGATGGTGGCTTTGATCCGTAATAGGACCAGATGTTCCTCCCACGAAAGAACATAACTACGTTTCACTGTTGCTAAATATCGCCTTGCATATTGCAATTTCAATTGAGGAATTTTGGGCATTTTTAACTGAAAATTTCACTGAATTTTCTTCTGATCTCATGCAAAAACGAATAAAATTTTGGATAAAAATTACACAGGTAGGTATCATTGAAAAAAATTGAATTTTTTGAATCAATTTGACTACCTTGGAATGAAGTTACAATACTTTGTCCAGGAAACAACGATATAATTACAACTCAAGGAGAAAAACGAAAAGGATAACACTCGGCGGTTTGACGGTTTCCGGCCAGTGTTAGTATCTATCAGTGTTTCCATAATTTGTTCATTTTCCAATTCTCAAACTATCTCTAACAGTGTTTGTTTTTCTCTGGCTCCAAAATTATTAAATCTCCCGACTTTTCCTGACTGTCAGAAAAAATTTCCATGTAGATTTTATCCCGTCAATTAAGCTGACTTTTGCTAAACGCTGCTTGTAAAATTCCCAGATTTCCCCAACCTTTCCACTTTGCCGGAAACTACAAAAATGGATTGGTTCAAAATTTTGGATGCTGTCGTCATCCCTGCCAACACTAAAACCTTCACATTGTAGCTGCACTGCAGCTACAGAAAATGCCATTCATAAACCTTGACAATTAAAGCAACAATTCACTTCATGAAATTACAAGGATACATTCCACGGATAAGAATCCGTGACTCCGTCTGAGCAGACTTAGAGACAGTTATACAGTTCTACAAAATAAACTTTAGAGAAAACAAACATTTACTAATTTTTCTTGTAAAAATGCTGGTTTCAGATATTAATTATTTTTCTCATACATTTACCAGAAATTAAATGCAACTTGATGCAATTATGAATTGTAACTGAACAAAATTCAGCTCATTCTCTATTCAGCTCAAGGGTGAATTATAAAGTAAATTGATATTGAAGGGTCCAAGGGTCAAAATGAAAATTTCGAGAAAAATGAAAAATAATGTGTCATGCAGCTGGCATTTAATTTTCAGCTTCCTGTTTCAATAGGTATCTTTTTAGATTGAGACTGCTTTTTAACGTTGATTTTTTAGGATAATCGCAAATGACTGATGTTGAAACTGAGATTTCAAATGTTGGATGAAAATAATTCCACTTTATTGTCACCATTGCTTGGATATTTGAAAGAAAATTCGGTAGTAAAGATTAGAGGAAAACTAAAACAATAAAATTGATCGCCCAATCGATTCCTGCATTTATATCTTTAGAACAGAGCAGGCATAGGCAAGTTTTGGCTTCTTTTAACTCAAGAATTTCGTTTCATTGCTACTTAAAATATTTACATAGAAGTCTGCAAAATAGATTTTTTCTTTTTACAATTTTTGTGTACAAAAAGATAAATTGTTTCATACATTAAACTTTAAAAAGAGATAACTAAGCAAACATAATAATAATTATTCAAATCATACAAATATCATTACTATCTATACAAAAAAAGGAAATCACTTCACAAGATCATGCTTCATAATCACATTTTTTCTTCTTTTTAAATTTTTTTCTTACAAAAATAAAAATTTTGTTCATCTTATTCTCTTTTAATTAATTACAGTTTAACACACACAAAAAAAAAAAAAACAATGTAAATAAGCCTTTCAAAAGTTCTTACGGTCCAGATCACCGGTGAAACTGCAGGAACGTTTATCTTGTATACAGTGTTTTAAAATTTCTGCTCCCATACTATTTTATCAAAGAAGAACAATCTATCACTTTTTTCGAATTGAAAATTTTCACACGCTACTTTTCACTCAGTTGAGAAAAATTAGGGAAAATTCCAAGAAATGACATTCAGGATTTTTTCATTTAAAAAATTAAGTAGGTATGACAGGAAGTCTGCGAAACGAGATATGCATTCCTGCAGTTTCATCTTCGATATACATAAATTCTCAAAGCTCAATTCCTCGCATGCATTTTTACGTTCAAATTAACTGGGATCACTATGCTTCAAAATGTCGACTTGAAATTAACAAAAAAGGAGATCATGTTATTCCTGCAGCAAAATTTTTGCTCAAAAAATTAAGTTGAATCCAGTTGCTGAACAGGACACATTGCTTACCTATAGAATTGAGGAAAATTGGACAAGATAAAACTTACGAAATAAAAATAAAAACACCTTTGCTTACATTCATTACTTACTTTGAAGATGATATTCTACGAGTATATCAAAGGCTAAAGGCGAAAAATGCAGACCTTAGATTGCAACATTGTAAGTCTCCACAAACAATTTATTATTTTAGTGGAAAACCGACCAACAGTTTCCACTGAAATTTTCTGCAAGTTTTATTTTCTAATTCTGAAAAAAATCATACAAAATCGCAAGAAAATATTTGGATTTCATTTTCCTACTGAAACATTAAGATTTTTAAATGCTGCAATTGGGATAGGTACACATTTTTCGCATTCAATCATGAATATTTTGACTTATTTCGTTATCATGCAAGCCTGGGTTTTTGGCAGCTTTTCATCTTTTAAACCGGCTTAGAAAACTGTTCATGTCCCAGGCTGTAAAAGTATGCAGACTGAAATAGTGATCACTGCCTGGAAGGTTAACACTAATACAATAGCTCCTCAGCTATAATGGAGAAAAAATTGGCTTCGATTGAACACGTTTGGGCAAATGCACCTTGTCCAAAATTCAGAAGTTGGGAGGAAATACTTTTTTCTTCGAATAAGTTTTTTCCCTAGAGGTGAATATGCCTGAAAACATATGTATGAGCAAGAAACTATGGCAGTCGACTTGTTCAGGATATCTGATCTTCAATGAGTATCTTCAAATTTACCTGCTCAGGTCATTCTTTGTGTAAAAGATTGAGATACTCAAAAGTACAACACAAAGAAGAAACTGGTGTAATGACAAATTAAAAATTTTAATGGATCTTTGAGGCATTTAGAGCACCAATACAGTCTGCAAAAGAGACTCGTAAACTTGCTGTCAATAACAGGACACTGATAATATGAAACTCTATTACGCTTGAAATATTTGATGGAATGAGTAGCAAATAATGAAAGAGTACCGACAGAACTACCTTGAGTCTAGATAGTGGGCACAACAAGGGAAAGCATTAAAACCATTAACAGTCTTCATTTTATAAGCACATGTTTGAGGGAAAAAGTAAACAAGATTAAGTAGGTACGTCCACTAAAAATTATTCCTGTCTGTATCTTAAGAACGCATATTCATAAAAAAATATCTCAGCTGGTGACTACGAATTTGCTTACTTGAAATTGTTTAAGAAATTTTTTTTAAAATTTTGGAAGTGGGAAGGAAGTAAGTTCACTAAAGGTCATAAAAATAATAATAGTGAATGTTCCCATAAGTTCTTCCTGAAGAAAACTGTCCTTCCATGGATGGAGAGAGAAATGGTAGGACTAATTACTATTTATGATCCTAATGATAATTTCAAAATCAGAGGATTAAGTGCAATGGAGACATTTCCTTTGTTTGAATACGACTCTTGCATGATGAATCAAAAAAGAAATTACACTTCCAGTACCATGGCATAGCCATGTGTGGGTACTTAGATGGTTCTATTTGTTTTTTCCCCCTTTTCGAATAGTTATTATGCATTTAAAATAGCACCAGCTTTCTTCAACAAACAATCTACCTGAACTAAACTCAATGAATCCAAAAATGTCATCATTAAAACATAGTCAATAAAAAAGTCATTTAAAAAAAATAATAAAATTAAACCTCAGACTTCTGTTCCGTCTTCACCTTCATCCTCAAAAAGAGGACCTGTTTTCTTCTTGGGTTTTGGGGGAGGTTTTGGAGGAACTTTCGAACGACCTAAGGTACCAGTTGAGGGGATTGCTGGCGCGCTCACCCGTCTCGTGGGAGACAGACTGTTTTCGATGGAGCCAGCGTGACTTAACGTCCCTGATAATTCTGAAGGTGGCCTCGACCAGCTCCCTCTCCTTTTGTCAGGTTTCGATTGTAAAGTTGAAAACCTATCATTGACATTAGGAGATATTGGAAGAGGTTTGATAGCACCAGGGTTGTAATCTTCGCTAAATTTCAATGCAGGAGAGGCTGTTGATCTCCGTTGCATGTCTAAGTCTTGCAACGAACTATAATTAGCAGGAAGAGTGTTCAGTTTACTTGGGGAGGTGTGAACTGGGATTGATGGTAAAGCACGATGTTTCATGGGTACTTCACCATTCTTAATAGACCTACCACTAGCTGTCGTTCGACATCCGAGGTTGTCATACACAGGTTCTGCTTTAGCCATCCCTAAAATTGAATCCTCAGGTAATGTAGGGGTTGTGGCAGAGGACCAACTGCCATGAGGTCTCCTGGGGATAGTGACATAACCCTGTCTTTGATAAACAATGGGCGTTCCTGACACTGACGCATTGAACGGAGACTGAGATCTAGAGTACGGCAATGTTCCGAAACCACCATGTGGGTGCATGTGATAGATCGGACTGTTGATTGGCGAGACAAAACCGTGAAGTTTTGCACTTTCAGGTATCGTTGAACTTGTGCTACCTGCTGGTGATGCTTGGCTACCTCTTAAATTGGGGAAAGCTAAAAGGTCCGGAGGGTACATTCTGTTATTCGAAGCCCGCACGTATTCCCCTTCATTGATGTTGTCTTGAGACTCTTGAAGTGAGCCTTCCGCAGAATCCAGTTTTCGGCTTTCGATTTCAGTCGTGCCGGTACCACCTGTAGCAAAAAAAAATATATTTCTTTTAGTAAACAAATATTAGGAGTCCTGAGCTACTGAGCACCTAAGCATACATGTGACCATCAAGGAGAAAAGAAACTTTGGCCCAAAGAGCTAAAATTTATGATAGAGAAACTTTGGCCAATTTGGATAAAAAAAATTGCATTTTGAGATTTTGGCAAACATCTTTCTCCTCTCTTCTAAATAATAAGTTGCGAGCAGTTTAGTTCATATTTTGCTAATAAGGAGCATCAAGTTGTATAGAAATTTTGTACCCTGGATATGACAAATTAGGGGTTTAAAAAACTGAGACTCTTATTTTGAACTGCAAAATTCGAACTTTAATAACGCTGGTTTTGTTCGGCATTTTTGGGCTTTTTTCCTCTAGAATGTATGTATACATATTTAGCTCTTTCCTATGATCTGGTGTCAATAACTCAATTTCGATATTGTGGATTAAGGTCTCTTTTCCTGTGCATTGTCACAGATTCAACCTGCCAATTTGTCCTTACTAGGCATTTTCTCCATAGTTTGGTGTGCTTTCTTTCTAAGTTAGACTTACACTTAAATTCTGATCAAGGAGTCTTGATTCCTTCTATTTTCTGATGTATCCCTGATTTTTTAGGAAAATTTCCTGATGAAAGACTCATTTTCCTCCAAATCCTCTTGGGAAAATCTAGACTTTTTCATGAGTCCAGACAAAACTATCGGTTACTATATTTTAAGTCCAATTCAAAGGCTTGATGGACGAGGCACATAAGTGCAGATTTAGCTATTTCAAGAAATAAGTACGTGTTCAAGTAAAGTTTCAAAATTACATGGAGCCTTATGACAGAAAGGACGTTTCAATTCAATTTTTGATGCCTTCTAGTTGGATTTTAATGGTGAATTTTTCACAGAATATACTTTCAAACTAGTTTGAGTTGAGTTCATGAATACCTCAATTTTTTAAAAAAAACTGCACTTATACGCCTTATTTTCCTAGTCCCTCAATTCTTCAGAGTAGAATTAATGCTGACCACTGACTTTGAGAACAATATTATTTTGGATGGAAAGGAGGGGAAATCCCTGCTTTTGAAAATCAATTCTCTGATATTTTTTGTTCCCTAGTGAGTCTTGACCATTCCCTGTTTTTCCAGCTCTGCAACTTTGTCCTTTCTTTTGGACTTATCCCAGTTTTCCGGGTTATTCCTGACAGTGACCAGGCTGATTGTTGAACCTGGTAGACAAAGCTATGGACAAAGACAAAGAAGACAAAAGAGATATGGAGGGAGTCTATTAGTGGAATCAGATGGTTGCAATAAACAAAGGAGATACGTAATAGACTAACTAACGGTAACGCACGAGCAACCCTATACTTAGTCTATCATTTACTCCCTTAGTCTATAAGAGCCACCTATTTCAACCGATAGGTTCGCTTCAAACTCCCTATGTCATCTTTGCCTATCGCATTGTCTGTCAATATGTCTTGTTGATTATTTATGAAATTATTAAAAAATGTAGGGGTCCCTTGCGAATAAAAATCTAAATGCATAATTATAAATTTGTTCGTAAGTCCAATCTGAGCCAAATTAATACTTTTATTGTACATTTAGGGTCTCCTTCTAATATTTCTTATTTTTGAAATTTTGGATCTTTGTTAGGTCTTTCAATGTTAATCCAGTTAATCAGCCCACTCAGGCTTAAATCCGTTTTCATCACCCCAACAGCAAACTCACCAAAATTGCTGGAGGTATCGTCGAGGAGGTTCTGCTTGAGCTCCGAGAGCTCGAGGGTGCCATTGGCGGGCACCTGGGTGACATCGTGTCGCCGGGGCGGCTTCTGGACGGGGTTGACGACAGTGAGGAGGCTCTTCTCCTGCTCGGCGTGGGCGCCGATATGGTGGGCCAGGTCCCCGTTGGGCGAGAGCCCGTTGTTGGCCGCCTTCTTCTGGGCGCGCTCCGCCCCGCCGGGCGCCCTCTTCCGGCAGACGCAGCAGCAGCAGAAGAGCACCACGGAGAGCACCGCGATGATCGCCACCAGGAAGACGATGGCCAGGATGAGAGGCAGCGCCTCCGTCACGGACTTGTTCGGGCCGAGGAAGCCCCCGCCGGAGGCTAGCACGAGCGTGATGTTGCGTTCGTCCACGCCGCCGGGGCTCCGCGCCACGCACGTGAACTCCCCGCGGTCCTGGGGCCGGACCCGGAGCACCGTCAGGTTCACCCATCGGGCGCCCTCGCCGTCGGCCCCCTCTCGGATCGAGAACTTCCGCTCGTTGTACGTCACCCGCGAGAGGTTCCCGATGACCCGGGCGTTGTAGACCCACAGGACCTCGGGCGAAGGGTCGCCGGCCACCTTGCAGCTCAGCGTCACGTCTTCGGAAGATGCCTCCACCACGCTACCGATCCCTGGGTACAGGACCTGCAACAATAATCATAATAGTTTGTATTATTTTATTGTGTAAAGAATGTCGGAGGAGAGGTTGTGAAAACAAGTTATGGGATGGGTGCCACCTGGGAAGAGGCGACGGGGACGCGTCCCATGAAGGGATGGCGGCAGGGCGCTGACGAAGAGATGTCGCGGTGTCAGTTGCCCGATAACCTCCGGAAAGATAGGCACATATGACGTTCGGGTGTCGCAAAACGCCAGAGTGCATTGTAGAAGCACCTTGACATATATATATTTTTTTTTTTTTTTTTTTTTTTTTTTTTTTTTTTTTTTTTTTTTTTTTTTTTTTTTTTTTTTTGTCGTCTGTTCTTCATGTTGTTCTCCTTTCGTTTCATTTCTTGGTTAGGCTCACAAAGATTTAATACCCTGGTAAAAATTGGCAGTAGAATCTGTGTTCCAAAATACCATTGACTTAAAGCCGGCTTTAAGATTTCCAATAGCTTCTGTAGCCGGCTGTACAATTTATTTTGGCCTTTTATAGCCGATGGCGACTAAGCAACAGCCAGACGATAAATTTTATGCTAAACGTTACTAAATACGGATACTAGGATTTAGTGAGTTTTTGGAATACTGCTCTCTTTTTGGGCCGTAGTATCTTGATTTATTTTGCGAGGAAAGCTCCGTAATTTTGATGGATACCTGCCATTACTGATATATTAGAGCGCCTTCAGTTTCGTATGATACTGTGCAATACCTCTGGTGTAAAATAGTTGCTTCAAGCGCCGTGGCAGGCGGGCAGCCAGCGCGAATCACGCATTGGCGCCTACAAACCTAACAGGGATACTTCACGCGTTGCGCAATGCGTGAAGTATCCCTGTTAGGTTTGTAGGCGCCAGTGCGTCGCCGCTCCCCTTTGTGTTAGGCTCTAATATTTAATCTGGCGGAGTAAGCGTTATTTAACTCATGATTTTGAAATGTTTGCACATCCTGTATGGATAATTCTCATTTGAATTGATGAAAAGAAAATATGTTTTAAAGGAAAATATAATGTGCGTTTTGTAAATATGAAGGTAGTTCCGTATCAAACTTAATGATTTCCAAAGCACACGAATTTCTACACAATTTCTTATAGCTTTTTATAGCCAATGGCGATAAAGTGTAAAGCCCGGCGATAGGAACTATAGCCAGACTGTATACTTTTTTATAGCTTCGTATAGCCCGCCACTGCCCGGCTACATGATTTGCTCCGCTTTCTACAGCCAGCTATATGATTTTTAATAGCGTTCTTTAGTCGGCTATAAGAACTCCTATGGTATTTTGCAACGCAGCTCCTATCGTAAATTTTTACCAGAGTAAAAATAGAGTCCTCCCCGAATAAGTTCACGCATTCCTAGACTGCGAAAGAAGATCGTCTGATTTCACTGTTACACGCAAAGTAACTGCAAGAAGTAAGATGGTGGATCTTCTGTCCCAGTCTAAAAGTGAGTAAACTTATTTTGCGTGGACTCTTAAAATTGTGATACCAGGAACAGCCTTGTGTCCAATAATCTTTTTGTTTATTCCTTGGTAATTTTTCTGGAAACTACAGAGAAATTTCGTGATGAAAATCGGAAATTTTCCTCATTTTCCTCCAGAATTCGGAAAAATGACACATATTTTTTTTGATTCTTCAGATCCAAGTCGACACGGATTGGTAAATTTGAAAAAAATAAAGTAAAAAATATAACGTCTCAGACAGAGAGAGGAAATGATAGATTTTAATCGCCAATTCTCCGACAAATTCCTCGATTTTTCCGCACATTTTTTTTTTTATGATAAATCCTGATTTCCAAGCTCTGGAGACGATGCTACCGCAATTTGAGAGAATGCCGCATGGACCTGCGGATGTTGCCAAATTTCTTTGGAAAAAGACGAATTTTTTGGAAAATTTGTAAATATTTTCCTTCCATTTTTCACCGCATGTTTCTCGTATTTAAATCCTAAGTATCTAAACACTTAGAGGGAAAATAACATATTTAACTTTACTCAAAAATAACTATTTCATCCAGGGGAATTTGGAAATACTCAAATGATCATTGACGGCGCGGCAGCAGAATGCCGCATAGACCTCCAGATGTTGCCAAATTTCTTTTGAAAAAGAACGAATTTTGTGGGAAATTTGTGAATATTTTTCTTCCATTTTCCACCGGATGTTTCTCAGATGTTCACTGACGGCAGCGTGGGGAAGGTAAAATTTCGTCATTACCTGCGGGCGGCAGGCGAACTCTTCCGAATCCACCCGGTCCCAGAACTTGTCCTTGAGGTTGTCCGGCTCGGCGCAGGAGGTCGGCTGGACGTAGAGGTTCCGCGAGATGGTCCAGTCGCGGAACTGCTTGAGCCGACAGTCGCAGCGCCACGGATTGTTGTGGAGCTCGAGGCTCTTCAGCTTGTGTAGCGACTCCACAGAGGACAACGGCAGCTGGGACAGCCGGTTGCTGTGGAGGTACAGGTACTGGAGGTTAGGTACTTGCTCGAAGGTCCGCTGCCCGATCCGGGAGATCTGGCACTCGGCCATGTCCACCGTCTGCAGGTAGGTCAGGTTTGTGAAAAGCCCATCCTGAAATAATAACAATGTCATTATTAATGCACGAAAAATTGGACCGCGCTTAACAGAAAGGAACCAAGCCACATCAGCTATGGCCAAATTCAGTTGGGCGATTTGATGTTTAACGAGAGAGGGTTTGAGTTGATTCCTTTGAAAATGTTAGGGAATTTGCTCCGTACTATGGAGAAAATTCACTGAAATTAGCACGAGAATCCGCACAGTCGTTTTCATGCTAACAATTAAATTGCCCCGATTAAATTTGGCAGTATAGCTGATGTGGCGCAGCTTTTTTCGGTTCAATTGGCTCGTATAGAAACGAGCAGAAGTTGTTCGGGGGAGGAAAGCAAAACTTCAAGAAATCTCGAAAAGCCCTCCGAAAATGTTGGCATAGTTTCAATAATTTCTTCCTTGGTAAATTCGCTGACTTTCCGTGACTTCTCTTAGTCTATTACTAATTACCTCAATTGTCCATTGCGACCACTTGCTTCCACCGATAAAATCGCTTCATTAACTGTTTTTTTCCTTCGCCTATTGCTTTGTCTATCAATTCCAATAATGAGCCCGCAGCGGGCCGATTATTGAAATTGATAGACAAAGCGATAGACAAAGAAGACGGAGGGAGTATGGAGCTATCCTATTGGTTGAAATGGGTGATTCCTATAGACTAAGGGAGAAAATGATGGACTAACTATCCGATCTCTCGTGGGGTGCCGTTACTTCGTCGATTACCTACCTCCTTTGTCCATTGCAACCACCCGCTTCTACCAATAGGATCCCTCCATATTTCTTTTGTCTTCTTTGTCTATAGCTTTGTCTATCAGTTTCAGTAATCGGCCCGCTGGTTTAGAGTATGATACGAGGGTCCTTACCTCGAGAGTCTCGATGGGGTTCCTGCTCATGTAGAGGAGGCGGAGCTTGGGGTTCTCGCGGAAGGTCTCCGGGTGGATGGTGTGGATGCGGTTGCCGGAGAGGTCGAGCTCGAAGAGGATCTCGAGGCCGCTGAAGGCCTCGCGGTCGAGGTCGCGGATGAGGCAGTCCTTGAGGAAGATCTTGTGGAGGTTGACGAGGCCGACCAGGCTGAAGGACTTGGCCGGGAGGGCGTTGAGCGGGTTGTCCGAGAGGTCCACTGACTGGATCTCCGAGCTCAGCCGGTCCGGCACCGCCGACAACTCCGACTTGCGGCACTCGGCCGACTTCTTCCCGGAGACCCACTTGCAGCGGCAGAAGTGCGGGCAGGCCGCCCAGTCGTCCACCGCCGACGTCGCGCACAGCCACAGGAGCAGCACCAGGCTCAGTTGAGTCACCCACGTCGCCGACATTATCGCTCCGCTCGTCGGATCTCAGCTCATGGCCTTCTGCAACAGTCCACAGACCACCGCTCATTAGAATCACTTACGTCTTTTGCACACTGGAAAAAAAACACATTGGATCTAGAGTCCAGACTCTTAAAAACATCGACAAGAAAAAATACTCTTGATTCGATCGGATTTTTGCTTAAATCAAGAACCAAGCCTCTTTGAGCGGATTTCCTTTTGATTTAAGCAAAAATCTGATCGAATCAAGAGTATTTTTTCTTGTCAATGTTTTCAGGAGTCTGGACTCTAGATCTAATGTGTTTTTTTTCCCCAGTGCAGTCTTCTCATTTCGTGATTGTCGGGACGCCATAGATGACATAGGTTAAAAGGCGGAGCGTCAATGGTCGGCTTTGTCTTATCGCTGCTTTGTCGTGCCTGTGTCGGGTGGGACTCACGACCAGCTAACGGCACCTCTTAAGTTTCCGACAATATGTGGTCCATTCCACCTGACAAAGGCGCGATAAAGCAGCAATAAGACATAACAGACCAATCACGCTCCGCCTATGAATCGATGTCATCTATATCTACCCGAAAAACACAAAATTTCAACAATCAGGCTGCAAGAAGCCTACAAGTTATGAAAAACCAAAATTGGGGACTTTCGGGGACTTTTAGGGGAGTTTTTTCGAGAAAATCGGGGACTTTTTCCCTCCAAATAGTAAGAGAAAGGGAGCTAGTTAGAGCGTTAAAAGGCGTATTTTATACGGCTGATTTTACAAGTCATGTTGAACCGATGAAAACATACGGAAATCAAGGAACACCTCAGTTTTTTGATTCCTGGTTATACCGCGCCGCCGCGGCTGGCGGGAAAATTTGAAAATGTCGGTGTTTAGGACGATTTTTGTCATTTTTTGGGGACCTGAACAAGAAAATTGGGGAATTTCGGGGGTATCGGGGACACCCTTCCAAATCGGGGATAATCGGGGACATTGGGGACTTTAGGGAACTGGTAAACACCCTGGTCTTCCGCATCCGAGGATCCGTACTCCTGTCGTAGGGAAAAACGCCGTATAAACCTTCAGGCGTTGCCAAATTTCCTTTGGTAAATCACGAATTCCTGCGAAAATTTGTAAGTATTTTTTCTCCAATTTTTCAGATAATATTGTTCGCGATTTCACCTTAAGTTCCTGAGAACTTCAAGGGAAATTATTCATAGCCTCCCTCAAAAATAAATCTTTATCGGAGAAAATTTGGCAACTCTCGAATGTTCATACGGTGTTCTTCCTTAGGGCAGCAGTATACAGCTGGATGGAAATCACCTAAAAGCCTGGGTCCCACCGGTCCCACCATCAATTTGGCTATCAATCTGGCGAGGTTAGGGTTCTGATTGGTTCTGTGAATACCACCAATTTGACCGCCTTAAGCAGAAAGGAACAAAGCCACATCAGCTGATGTCTTTGATAGGGCAATTCAATTTTTGCCCATAACACAACGAAACGCAACAGCGAACAACGAGAAACGCCTTATGGAAATTCGAGAGTTGCAACATTTCCTCCGATAAAATGTTTATTTTTGAGGAGAGTTACGAATATTTTCTCTTGAAATTTTCAGATGATTTAGATCTGGTCGTAAATCACAATCTCTAGAGAATTTTAAAAAAATGTTCAGAAATTTTCCTGAAAATGTATATTTTATCAACGGATATCTGGCAACGCCTGAAAACTCATACGGCGTTCTTCCTTAGCACGGCAGTATTGCGGTAATACTTTTGGGTATTTTTGGCATGCTATACGCATTCTGCATACATTTTTGGTTACATGCGCTATGGTGTTAAAATGTTTAGCCCTCATGGTGCACCAGTTTTAGTTTTCATCCGCTCATCCACTCTCTTTGAAAGGAGGGCACGAGACACCAGACGCGGGAACAGGGGAGGAATCCTGGAGTTCTCACGGAGGTGAGATAACGATTTTGATCGGAACAAATCTTCGCATTAAAAAGAGGGGGAAAACATAAAAATATGAGAGGTAAACGAAACGATTGGATAACGTAGATGAGAAAAAAAATCGAGCCGGGGCGGTGCAGTAAAATAAAATGGAATGGAATGAAAGGCGATAGCGGAGGGGTGGGGGAGAGCAGGGGGGAAGTGAAATAAAGAGGGATTTCGGAGTTGAAACCTCCCGCAGTTCTTGTGTCTTTTCGGAGCGGGTGTGCCGTTGCCGCGCGCCTCCAGGGAGGAGACAACAGCCTTTGAGTGTCAAAGCTTGCGACAACTTAACGCGCCAACGGTGCCAATTCGAAGAATTTCGATTTTAAAGCCATCATTTTGTTTCAAAAGGCTTCTTATCGTGAGGAAAATGGTTCACTCGATAAGAAAATTACACAAGATGGGTATGTCACACACTGAGAGAAAGCTTAACATATATAGACCAATTGGATTGCATTTTGCAAAAAGGAACCACTAGCATTGCAATGTTGCTAAGATTGTGCAACTTCTTTTGTCTTGGAGGAAAAACCCGATTATCCATTAATAGTTTCTATTATACTCGCTAAAAACTGTAAATTTAAGACAAAATTGCCATCTAAATTTCATAGTTTTTCACGATATCCGCAATTTTATTGCAAAAGATGAAGTTGCACAATCTTAGCATCATTGCAATGCTAGTGGTTCCTTTTTGCAAAATGCAATCCAATTAGTGGTTCATGTGGAACACCACTACTAGTAGTAAATGCAACAAATAATACTAGAACATATACCTCAGTGATGGCATGTATACCTTAATACGGTACGGTACGAGATACCTTAGTGTATGGTTCACAGACCGAGAATTATTATTTCATTTACGACTACTAGTGGTGTTCCTTAATAACCACTGATTGGTTTACATGTCGCAGGCAAATGGTAAAATCAGGCATTTTGTCAAATGCCTAGGCAGATAGTCAAATTTTGACGGTCTACAAAATTTTGTGTATTTATGGCGAAGAGCTCACGATTTTTCACTATTTTTGGAAAAATAACTCATCAAACCTACGAACTCTTATTGTCTTTTCCTCTTCAATTGCCTCTCTTATTTTTAAATGTTGAAATTCCGAAAATTCTCTATTTTACGACATGCTGAAAATTTCAAGATCAGTGACTCTTCAGAAGCTAACAATTGTTTAAAATACTAGTGTGTGTGTGCAAATTTTTATTGAAAATGTTTTCTTGCAGAAGCAAAGAATTATTTTGTCTGAAATTAGGAAAAGAATTAGAATTTCGCTCTAAGTTAGAATATTTGACTATTTGCCTAGGCATTTGACAAAATGCCTGATTTTACATGCCTGCGACATATATAAAGTCGTATATTTTCTTCCGTGCAGGCACTTTGTCAAATGCCTAGAGAAATAGTCAAATATTTATACTTGGATTGAAATTAAGATTCTTTTCCTGAATTTGGACAATATAACTCATTGCTCTTGCAAGTAAGAATTTTCTGGAAAAATGTGCATCATACAAAAGTATTTTAAACGATTTTTAGTTCCCGAACGGACACTCATCTTTAAATTATTAGCAAGTCATGGAACATAAAATTTCCGCGATTTTAACTTTTAAATGTATGATGAGCATTTGAAGAGGCAGAAACAAGGAGAGTTCGTAGATTTGATTAGTTATTACTCTCAAAAATTTTTCACAATTTCGTGACTGCCTAGGCATTTGATAAAATGCCTGAGTTGATTAATTGCCCACGACGATGAAAGTGCAAAAACGCTGATCTCGATTTGCGACGTTGCAGACTTCCTATCATAATTCACATTTTAACGGCAAAATACTCAACGTTATTACTTGAAAACCGTCCTCATGTGTTCATTGTGCGTGAAGCATATTCTGTGAACATTTCAAACAGTAGTCTTGGTTCATTCTCCTTTCATAAAAAAAAATAAAATAAATGGGAGCGGAGATGTTGAAAAATCGCAAAGGAGGTACTTGGTTTTGCAAATTCACCGTCGGTTTGTGGAAAAGAAGCTCTGCGCATCCTTTACTGAAAACGAGTATCTTAACTCTCCAAAAATGTCATGCAACTCCTACATCAGAGATAGGAGTCAACTATTCCTACTTTACGGTGATTATTTTTGCCTACCCTAAAATTTGAAGGCAATTTATCTTTTCATCAAGTTTCATCAGAGATAAGAGTCAACTATTCCTACTTTACGGTGATTATTTTTGCCTACCCTAAAATTTGAAGGCAATTCATCTTTTCATCGAGTTTCATCGGAGATAAGAGTCAACTATTCGTACTTTACGGTGATTATTTTTGCCAACCTTAAAATTTGATGGCAATTTATTTTTTCATTAAGTGCTCTCGGTGGTTTCTAAAGATTTTGAGCGAATATTGAACTTACGGAATTCGTTGTTTTTCTTCGTGTTTCGTAGAGATAGTGTTTCGTCGGTAACTTGGCCTGAAACAAAAAAAAAATTATCAACATTAATAGATGTGACGTCAAGTCTCCTCGCTGCAGGTGATTGATTTCGGAAAAATCAATTGCCTAAAATACAAATTTTGAAAACAAAGTCATATTATTTAGAGAACTTCCTTGACAGCGGGCCGATTATTGAAATTGATAGACAAAGCCATAGACAAAGAAGACAAAAGAGATATGGAAGGGTCCTGTTGGTGAAAGCGGGTGGTTCTAATAAACAAAGGAGTTAGGTAATAGACTAGCTAACGGCAACCCACGGGATATCCGACAGTTATAGTCTATCATTTTCTCCCTTTGTCTATAAGAACCACCCATTTCAACCAATAGGATCGTTCCATACTGCCTATGTCTTCTTTGTCTATAACTTAGTCCATCAATTTCAATAATCAGCCTGCTGGGTAGCATCCGCTCCCCGACAAAAGCGACGATTCAGACTTTCTGCAGTTGGATACAAAGCTGAGTCGCCGACATGGGCGACAGACGCAAATAAATTATGTTTTACGGTTGAAAAAATTTTACTGATTCCGCTGCGGTCCAGCGATCCGATCAAAGACACAAAGGAAATGGGTAAGCTATTGAGCGTAAGACTAAAAGTTTCACGATACCGATTGCTAGTAACGTGCGGACGCTTAAAATGAAATTTTACTACAACTTTGAACGATCCATCAGAGACCATCCGACTGTCACATCCTTGTTTCTTTCCACCACACAGAAGAACAAGCTAGAATAAGAGGTCGGACATGAAATTTTTGGATAAAATTTCGAATTTTAACGTTTATTACGTCACAAATTCAACATCAAGGGATGTTTCTGAAAGACAATTTTACGAAAAAAACCAATGAAATCACTCTTAAACTTTTTTGTTTCATATTTTTGCAAATACAGGCTTTAAAATTTTCCAGATTTTGGTTGAAACTTCCAGAACACAAGATTTTGGATAGTTTTTCTTACTATGTGCACGCGTTACTCTTATATGATTTCATGGTAAAGAGAAAGATTAGCCCCTTTGGAAAATGCGATATTCCTCGTTGTAACATTCGGACAGGGAGAAAATTAAACCATTAAGAAGGAGGAGAGGGGGCAGAGTAAGGTTTCAACGTGTGAGAGCGATGCCCCCCCCCCTCCCCACAGAAAGGACTGCACACAGCATGGGCACGGGTGAAGGCGTGAGCTCTCATAGAAATTTATGCGCGAGGGTCATCCACTCGACTCAAGACTTCAACTTCACCCGCAAGAGCTCATAACGTCGCACCTCTGACGCAGGAGCGTGTCTCTAATTCCACATGAGCCGTGGAGAGCATAGAATTGTATGGTGCATAGGGCTCACTTGAAAATCGAGATACGTCCTTACGACGGGGGAACGACGATAATTCACAATCGGGGCCCCGAAACCCGGACTTGGGACCCCGCGACAAAGCTCCAGCTGAGACATCCCATCCTACCGCGTGTTGTGCCCGCAATCAGAGCTAAAACTCCCAACACATACCCACATAATACTTATCCCACAAACACAAACACAAATACACGCACACAAAGACATGGGACCGGGTCTCTCATCCTCGCATCCGGACCTTTGGCTCAGTGGAGGGGCGTGAATGATCGATAATCGATATTTCTCCATATTTGAAGCTATGGTAGAGAATCGACTTTTAAGGAGTTCGTTGCAAACACCCTTTTTGTCGATCCTTTCTCGTAGGTTTGAGTGGCAGATCAATCGATATATCGCAAGGCATGCCACGCCGCTGCTCTGGCTTTAGGCAAAAATAAGAGTACGTTTAAACGAAGTTCCGATGGTCCCTCCCTCGCTAAGGAAGGAGCAACAACAAAAACAGGGAACCGTCGTTTTGACGCCAAGTTCTGGGACTTCTAAAGTCTAAGACCTCCGAAAACCCCACTCCTAACGAAGATTTCGATTTTTCCGATGTGACTGATGACTTAAACGTGTGAAATTATGGGTGAATGCCAATCTTCATCGGATTCGGTGCATCGCCAAAATGCAGGATAAAACGATTTTAATTCCCAGAAATTTATGCGTCTTTGTAGCGTAGTCCCCTATCCCTTGGAATAAAATTCATAGAAAGTACGGTATTAATTTGACCCATGAAATACCTTTGTAGTCGCCGGTATTGTCATTATTACGTGGACAAAGTTTCAATTTATTATTTCTTTTTTTAAAAAAAAGAAATCAACTTTTTTGTAATTATTTGATTTTCTTTTTTCTTAGGAGCCCCTATCATGGGTGGCGGTAGCAACCCTCGGATAAAGTCTAAACTCGGCAACAATGAATTTATACTAGGTTAAAAGTGATTCCATGCAAAAACGGCCCAGGTATCAGGTATTTAAACACAAAATGTCCTTCTCAATTCAGTCGTCCTGTGCAAACCGGCCCGGGTACACCTCTTCTATTTCTGTTATCTCTCATTTCCGACAATATTTTGCTGCATTTCAATCATGCCAACTTAATCTTGAGGATAGGAAAAACTTTTTTGGACCGCAGCGAATGCTATACCTGATAATGCAACAAACCGGTACCGTGATAAAATATCCAATCGCTGTTTTGCGGAACCGCGATTTTGCTGCTCGGGTCGTTTTTGCACCTGACTCTACATTTGGCTTCCGGGGATAAAAATCGTTTTTCCCATTAATAAACGAAAAGATACTATAATTCCGATTTGTTCTGAGTCGGTTGAGGGTTTCAGAGCCGGGATCTGGGTAGCGAGACGCGAGAGCAATTTGCGCGGCTACAAAGCGCTATCATATCAGCGATACAGTTATCACGTTTGGGCAATGAGCGGAGTCAATTTATTTGCAGTTGTCTCGGGCTTTAGCGCTTCCATCACTCGAATGATCGATTATCGATACGTACCCATTTGAAGCTATTTAAAAACTCGATTATTAAGGAACACCCTGATTATCGACCCTTTTCCATGGGTTCGAACGGCAGAGATCGATATATCGCCGAGCACGCCACGCCATTGCCATCACTCTCCGGACGAAAATTAGATTCTCGATTTCGATCCGGAACCTAATCAAAGCTTACCCCTCGGCCAAGGAGAGTAAAAGTCCTTCAAATCGGAGGAAACACTGTCAAAACGACGCAACCGCATTGCAGAATGAGCCTATGTTTCCGCGGTATTGAAGGTCCGCGTGGAAATTGAGTTATGTCTTTTTCCTGATGAAGGACGAGATGATGCTTGCCAGGCGCCGCGTAAATTCTCACTCACTGGCAAAACGACGTAAATAAATTGAGAAACAGCCCCATTGTGTGTGCGTCTCTGTGGTGTAGGGGGTCCGCGCGGAAATTAGGTTAAGTTTTTCTCCGACAGGAGAAGGGCGAGATGATGCTCGCCGGGCGCCGTGTAATTTGCGGGCAAAACGACTTAACTACATTACAGAAAATAGCCTCATTGTGGTACGTTCCTGTAGTGTAAGGGGTCCGCGTGGAAATTGAGTTATGTCATTCTTCCGGGTGATATTTCATTGTTGTGTCGCGAGTCAGGTTCTGAGCGTTTTCCACTCTGCGGTCCACGAGCTCGTTTCCTTTGTCGTTGTCACGCTGAAATTTATAGCTTGGCTCACATAAAGGCGTAACTACACATTGAGATGAGCCCGGAAAAGCATTGAAACGCATGGAAGACAGGGTCCATTGCAGAGTGTAGTTACGCCCTTGTGTCAGGTAGGCGACGAATTAAGGCCCCTGACAAGCTCCTCATACTGCCACCTTTAGGAGAAGAAATCATCCTCATTATAAATGTTTCCGTTCAACAGTAACGAGTCGATTTCCCACGTTGTCAAATTTCACTGCCTCGTAAAATTCCTCGTTGAGTGACCACGCAGTTCTCTTCCTACAATCTTTTCGCAAAACCTGGGCGCTTTTCAGTTATAAAAAACCAAAATTGGGTACTTTCGGGGACTTTTAGAGGTGTGTTTTCAAGAAAACCGGGGATTTTTTTTCCCAAAATGGCAGGAGGAAGGGAGCTGGTTAGAGCGTTAAAAGGCGCATTTTATACGACTAATTTTACAAGTCATGTTGAACCGATGAAAACATACGAAAAAACCAAGCACACAGTTTTTTTATTCCTGGTTATTGCGCGACGCCACAGCTGGCGGGAAAATTTGAAAATGCCGGTGTTTAGGACGATTTTTGTCATTTTCTGGAGACCTGAACAAGACAATTGGAAACTTTCGGGGATATCGGGGACCCCCTTCCAAAATCGGGGATAATCGGGGACATTGGGGACTTTTGGAGACCGGTAGACACCCTCAAAATGGAGGATACAGTTTGAAACGTGATATTATGTTTAGCTTGACAGTGCTTAGTCTTGCGATTTCTTCGTAAAACGGAGAATAGGATTTGACATCGTAAATCTACTTGTTCAAGTTGTGTAACACCAACCAGGTTGTCAACAAAAAAATTATTTCTTTCTTTTTTGAAAGAAAATGTATTTTATACACTTCGGCAAATAGCAATTTATTAAAATGGGGAATTGAAATGATGTTTACTTGCTCTCAGTTGTAACGTAAGACGTCAAAATGAGACGTACAATAAGTAATAATTAGGGCTGATAGGGGTTTTGGTTACAACAATACGTACACGTGCTGGCGTGCATACTTGGCGAGTTTGTAAAGTTGCGTCGCCCAGTTTTGAAGGCGTTCCAAAAGCTCTGACCAGTAATACATTCCACATACAAAGTACAATTACACATCAAATTGTAGGTATGCCACACTATATTGTGATAATTTTACTTTGGCCGCAAAACTGAAGGAATGTTTAAAAAAATCCTATAATTTCATACGTATTAATGTAATTTCACACGATATGAGGCGATGAAATTACGTGTTTACCCACCCAAGGTCTCAATTTCAGTTTAAACTCTTCTGCATTTCTTCTTTTAAATTAAATTCAATTTTTACGTCTCGGTTTATTTTATACCTCATTTTATTTTTCGTCTCATTTTATTTTATGTCTCATTTTATCG